CTTTCTGTGCCTGGCTTATTTCATTTAACATGATGTCCTCCAGGTTCATCTGTGTTGTTGCAAATAACAAGATTTCCTTATATGTTTTTAAAGGCTGAATAGTGCTTCATTATATATCACATTTTCTTTAACCATTCATCCACTGATGAACACTTAGATTGATCCCATATCTTGATTATTGAGAATGATGCTGCAATGGACATGCAACTGCAGAAATCTCTTCAACACACTCATTTCATTTCCTTTGGATATGTACCTAGAAGTGAGACTGCTGGATCATATGGTAGTTCTACTTTTAATTTTTCAAGTAACTTTCATACTGTTTTCCCTAATGGTTGTACTAATTAACATTCCCACCAATAATGTGCAAGGGTTTTCTTTTCTCCACATCCTTGCCAACACTTGAGATCTTTCTTCATTTTGATAACAGCCATTCTAACAGATGTGAGGTGATATCCCATTGTGGTTTTTATTTGTATTTTCCTGATGATTGAGCATCTTTTCATATACCTGTTTACCAATCATATGTCTTATTTTTTTTTTTTTTAGCACCTCCAGAAAAGAAAGTACGTCTGCTTTTGAGAAATGTCTATTCAGATCCTTCCCCCCCCGCCCCCCCCCCCGCCTTTTATTAGTGTATATTTCTTTTTCAGTCAGTTTCAGTAGTTTGTGCTCTCTTGGAATGTATCCATTTTATCTCAGTCATCTAATTCGTTAGCATACAGTTGTCCAAAGTATTTACTTATAATTTTGTATTACTGTAAGGTCAATAAGAGTTCCTCTTCATTTTTTATTTTAGTTATTTGAGTCTTCTCTCTCTTTTTTTTATGGTCAGTTTATCTATAGGTTTGTCATTATTGTTGATCTTTTTGAAGAACCAACTTTGATTCTGTTTATTTTCTCTAGTGTTTTTCTATTCTGTACTTCATTTATTTCTATTTTAATCTTTATTAATATTTTCTCCCTTCTGCTCATCTTGGGCTTAATTTGCTCTTTTATCCAGTGTCTTAAGGTAAGATGTATAATCTGTCTCATCCTAGGAGAACTGAGTTTGTCCTGGAGGGCAGACCTGAGGTGTCATTGCCCTCGGCAAACTGCTCCCTGCATCCCAGCTGCTCTGGCTGGAGCAATCCTGCCTCAGCACCTCCGAAGAGCAAAAGCCAAAAACCTTGGTGACATTCGTGTTGTGTTAAGTTTTCAGGCCAGCAGTATGCTGGCAGTGTGCAGCTCCAGCCTGGAAAAGATGCAGGCACCAGGGCAGCTCAATGTGCTGCACCTCGAGGAGCTGTAGGAGTGAGGTTGCCCAATGCTTTAGGGGTCCACGTGCCCCAGTGTGCTTAACATTTGCCCTGTTTGGTTTTTGGATTTGTTTGGGGCCTGTTTTTCCTTTCTATTCCTCCCTTCTGGAATGGGAATGTGTACCCAATGTCTGTCCCACTGTATCTTGAAAGTAGATAAACTTGTTTTTGACTCTTTATAGGTTCACGGCTGGAAGGAGTTTTGCCTTTAGTCTCAGATGAAACTTTGGACTTTTGAGTTGGTGCTGCAAAAAGACTTTTGGGACTGGGATGGAATGTGTAATATATGAATGGAGGGTCATTTATCCTTGCTAAGGGAACATCACGGAAGATTCTGAACGCATAGATTGTGTGGTGAGGGACCCTGAAGGGGAGGATTATTAGGAAAATAGAATAGTTGGGTCAGGCTCTCCTCACCTCAGGGCTGGTTGGGGGTGGTTCAGTAAACAAATTATGTGTGTGTGGGGGGGTGGAATTAGTGTGCATGTGTGGTGCCGTGGCTTGGCTGTCGACTGCCTTGGGCGGACACTGCTCCCTGCAGCCATGCCTTTCCAACCTGCAGATTCCAAGGACCTGTTTGCTGGTTACCTAGCATATAGACCTGTGTGTAAGGGTTCTGATGACCCAGCCTGGTGTGTGAGGGGTCTGGTGACCCAGCCTGGCATTTGAGAGGTCTGGGGACCCAGCCTGGCATGTGAAGGGTTTGTGACCCAGTCTGTGAACGAGCTTGAGGGGTTTGTGAGCTCCAGACCCAGGCCTAGCTTGACAATTGGCTACTTGGCAGGATTATGGGCAGGTAAAAGCCCGACAGATGTTTATGAGGTGATCTTACCCAATGATAAGTCATTTATCCATAGGTTAATGTCCTCTGCATTAATGAATACAGAGCCTCCACTGTTCTGAAACTAGGTCATGGACACATTTCTGCTAGCTTGTGGCACTCAGTCAGGAGTTGACACTGATGTTCACTTCGATGTGTTAGTGCTACAGGGTACACAGTGCATCGGAACCACTGAAAGGAAGATTCCTTATTAAGCAATGCACCTTCTCACAGAGACCTCTTCATTAGTTTATATGAAAAACACATGGCTTTAGTTAATCTAAAACCTTGATACATAAATTGAGTGATACAATTTTATGATGATTTTGTTATTCTTAAAAAGCAAGGTAAGAATTCTCATATCTTAACAATTTGAAAAACATCTGTTGGGCTGTTTTACCAGTCCGTAATCCTGCCGAATGGGCCAATTGTCGAGCTAAGGCTGGGTCTGGAGCTCACAAACCCTTCAAGCCCGTTCACAGACTGGGTCACAAACCCTTCACACACCAGGCGGGGTCCCCAGACCCCTCACATGTAGGTCTATGAGCTAGGTAACCGGCCAAAAGTTCCTTGGAGCATAGGTTTGAGTGCATGGCTGTGTCAGGCAGAAGCCTGAGGCAGTAAATGCCAGCCAAGTTGGTGGCGCTGCCCATGCACACTAACTCCACCCACCCCCACACAAAATTTGTTTACTGAACCACCCCCAGCCAGCCCTGAGGCATGGAAGCCTGATTAAATTATTCTATTTTCCCAATGACATCTTTTTCCCCACTGTCATCTCTCTCCCCTTTTCTCTATGTAACAAATGAGTCAGAGGAATCTTAATTCATTTAAGTAGATCCACGTCAGTTTTTCTGTTAAAAAAAAAAAAAAAAAGAAAGAAAGAAAGATGCCATTCTGCGGTCCAAGTCACCAGCACACTTTAAAACTTTTTTCTGGGGTTTTATGATCACAAGAGACTTCTGACATGCAGGTGATGAAGAGCCTGCTTTGCAGTCAAGGGAGCTGAGCCAGGCTGTTTCCTTCCCTTCCTCTCAGTTTTTCTGATGGGTTTGTCCTGTCATTCCAGAAATATTCTCAAGTAGTCTTTAAAGCCCTAATAACCTGTTCTTCCCAGAATAATAGAAATGAGCTAATCACTCATCTCAGGGGCACCTCAGGAGTGAAAAGAATCACAAACTACACGTGTCGTTATCTGCACCATCCAGTGGTGGTAGAACACTCGTGAACTTCACTCCAGGGAATCCAGTGCTGGATTGGTGCCCAGTCAATCCACACGTTTGTTTTTAACTGGCAGCTGCATTTTTCATGACAGGCATTTCTCACGTCTGCTTAAAGTGCTTGTAGAATGAATGCACCGCAGGAAATCTAAGGAAAATTTTTTGACAAGTGCTTAAAGTTTTCTATTTTTAGACACCTAAATTTCATTCCACAAACAGAAAACTAAGAGCACTGACTCATGTATATAGAAGGCTTTATCATAATACTACATTACATGTGCTATACAGAGATGCACAGGTTTTATAAGAGACTCTGATTGTCAATACTCATATAAAAGTTTATGACTTTCTAGGTCTTGTTCATTCTCAGGGTTCCCCTTAGTCATAATGAAAGTCTAGAAATGTGAGCACAATACATTTTAGCTGGCTTGGAGATTGTCAGAGGGGTTGGCCATGGCAGTGATTTCCCTTCCTAATTAGTGTTTGAAAGTTCAAGCAAAATTAAGAGTCATTTATTGACTACTTTGTGTAAGGTATTGTACCAGGCTTCAGGCAATATGACCAAGCAGCAAAGCCTTTCCCTTGCTCTCAGGTAGCTTGCAACCTACTAGCATGACAGACATAGATATACTCAATATAACCATATGGAAGAAAGATATTAATAGTGCAAGATGGCAATACAACCTGTTGTGGAATAATAGTTTGTCCTGTATTAAATGGACTATATTGTGTTGCTTGATCTGAGTTTATCAGAGGGAGAAAATAATTCAAGCTCGAGTCACAAAGGAAGGCCTGGTAGAGAGTGGAAAGGACGCAGAATGAGAGCATCTGTGCTAGAGATGCTGCTTTCTGCTTTCTGCTTCTCTAAAGAAATAGACTTCATGTCACTTAACATGTCCCCAAGGATCAGAATTGCCGTTAATCAATATGTTAATTTTCTAATTATAGAATTCCTTATTTCCGGAAAGCGATCTCTCCTCTCCTTGGCCCTTCCAATTCCAAACCCTGTGCCGCGGCGTGGGTGCTGCTGGGAAAAATGCGAAAGAGCTTTCTTGCTATTCCCCACCAGTGTCTTTGGCTTCAACCTTAGAAATTGTTCTGGTGAATGAAGCTTTATGGGCTGTAGTCAGCAGAAAGACAGAGCTAATAAAGCCCTCCCACACGGGAAGATAACAGGCACATTTTTCACAGCGTCACTCCAAGACTGAGAAGTTGAAAAGCTGGCTCAGATTCCTAGAGGAGGTAACAGTCAACCTCCAGATTTACAGCACGCATCTATCAGTGTCTTTTCAGACAAAACCTTTCTTAGCTGTGATTGCTCTATCACTCCATGATGGGTATGAATGAAAGGGGCCAAAGTGGTCCATCCATTGGGCTGCCATTTAGGGTCCCCTGACTTCCAACAAGTACTGACTAATTATTCATAATCTAGCATCTCTGCCTGTGAAAATGAAGGGGACAGCCGTATTTGCTGTGATTGGTATCATAAGGTCTATTTAGTGATTTGGTTGGGTTGATGATAATTCTGCATAGATAAAATGTCTTACTCATATATAATAGAAACACATAACACACATATTTAAAATCCCTCTATACCCACAAATATAATCCTTGGTAGTTTGACCCTGCTTGTAAATCCTACATTTCCCCCCTCTTTTGAAGGTTGCTGAACATTGAGAATGAGATGATCAAATTTGCCGTTTACTATGCTGGAATCGCTGCCGCAGTACTTATCACAGGATATTTTCAAGTTAGTAGCTCCTCCGTTTTATTTATAGATCAATATCTGGGCTCAAAGGCATTACAATGAAGTGCAAAGTGTTGTTACCCTTCATGCTATTCAGAAACCCTAAGAACTGCAGTTCTATTTTGGGGGAACATGAGAGAAAGGGAAGGGATTCTTCCTCTGAAGAGGATACAAGCAGTTGTCCAGAGAGATGGAGAACAGACTTTGAGTTGTGATGTCCTGTCCTCCTCTGCCCTTGCCTATTTAGTCCTCTTTTCTACACTCAGAAATGGACAGTTGTGGGTGTGTTTTGTAGGGAAAGGGTGAGCAGCCTGGAGAAAGCCAGGCATGGGGGGGTGGAGGAAAGCAAAATTTGCTTTCTTTTTCTCTTTCATTGCTTAAAGTCTCACCAAACTGCATTCCAACCCAAATTCTGTAAATCTAAATCTAAAGCATATTCTAGATTTAAGTGATAGGAGGGTTTAAGATTACTTAATCCTTATTTAAAAAAGAAAAATATTTCATCTTTGCCTTCTTCCGTAGAAAAAATAACAAATTATCTCCCATTCATTCAAGAATTCTAGATAGTGTTAGTTGTAAAGAGAAATTAATAAATTTTTCCCACTCTGGCACTGGGAGTTTTCATGACAGGCTTACTTTTTTTAGTTAGGGGAGATCTATCAGTGGGTTACATTCCCTGCTTAGGTCATAATTTTTGTCTTCTATTTCTTGAAAATCATTGCCTGAAAACTGCATGAATGCTTGTAGCAGACCTCCCAGGGGAAAAATTCACCGAGAAGTGGGATGCAAAAATCTCAGAGCAATAATGCCTTATTTTTGGCTCTGTGAGACTTATTTTACACATGAGGAAAGTGAACCTCAGTAGGGTGAAGTCCAAAAGTCGTGGGCCTCTTAAGTATCAGAGCTAGATTCAAACCCAAAGCTCGGGCTTCCCTGTCCAAAGTTGTTCCTCTCACCTCCACTTTTAGCAGCAGATGCCAGAGCTCACACCTTAGCTCCCAAGAAGGGCCACTTTGTGAATGATTCCCCTCCTTTTCTCAACTGTTGTAAACTATTTTCTTCTGAAAAGAGAAGAAGAAATTAATGAATATTTGTAACATTGGGGTGCTGAACATTCCTTTATCGATTTCCAGATATGCCTTTGGGTAATTGCTGCAGCTCATCAGATACGGAAAATAAGAAGAATCTACTTTAGCAAAATAATGAGAATGGAAATAGGATGGTTTGACTGCAATTCAGTGGGAGAGCTGAACACAAGATTCTCTGAGTAAGTAGATGGTGGAACAATGTTTCCATGCATAGTTTTGGGATAATACAACTCTTATTTCTAAATTTAACACTTTGAAAACATTTTCAGTTATTTTTGATACATTTTATCTCTTAAGTTGGGCTTTCATAGGCAGCATAGCTTTTTAATAGGCAATACCTTATCAAATATGGTCATTATAAACTGAAAGTCAGGATACTGCAATTTAGTTTGTAGGCCCTTGATTGAAATGTTAGAAATAAAGTATTATAGAAGAGAGTTAAAAGAGGTAGGGTTAATTGGCCTCAGAAGGAGAAATTGAGAGATGTCACAATCTGTGTATATACAAAGAAAAACAATACAATTAGAAATAGTGATCTTACCATAGCTGTGGAGGCAATTTCTACACATTAAAACAAAACAAAACAACAACAAAGAAAACAAAAATAGTTTGAAAAAGATTCAAACTAAAAAACTGGATTTAAATCTAGTTTATACCTAAATACTAGTTTGGGTCATTAACAGTCCCCCAGAAATTCTGAGTGAGTTATACAACCCATTGAGTCCCGTTGAACTGAACTTTGAGGACCTGTGTAAGACCCTCAGTGTACAGTGAAAATAAAGCAGACTGAAAATTGGAGCCCCTAGATCACACTACTTATTCTGCCTCTTACTTACTGTGACCTTGAACAAATACTTAACCTTGCTAGAATACAATGGTGTCATTTCCAGGTAATGTCATAAGTTCTTTCTCGCTTTCTAGTCCCAAGCCCTATTTGCTCCATCTGGACAAGAGATTAAGGGAATGTTCTCAGGAATATGAATTTAATATAATTATTTTCAGCCAATATTCTGGAGCACTTACCTGTACTCCTGTTCTTAAGGAACTTAGAGCCTAGTAGAAGGGATAAAAGGAACAAAGAAATAAATAATCAGAACTAACACATTGATTACTTATTATATGATAAGCACCGTTCTACAGGCTTTGCATACATTAACTAATTTAATCCTCATTACTACCCTCTGGGGTAGGTTTTCTTATTATCCTCAATTTATAGATGATGAAACAGATGCGAAAAGGTTCAGTAACTCGCCCAAGAAAAGCTTGTATTTAAATTAAGAGAGTCTGGCTCCGAAGTCTGTGCTCTTAACCACTATTCTATACTGCCTATAAGCAGAATGCAATAATTACATACGTACACATACACAAATATACAGACTAGTTATATTACAATGGAAACATAGGGAGGAAGATGTTACCTCTTCCTGGGGGATTATATGAGGTTTATGAATGAGGTGGTATGTGAATAGAACCTTGAGGCTGAAAGGATTTAGCAGGCATGAAGAAGGAAAGAAGGGCTCTTCAGGACAGACCAAAGACATTAGCTACAAAAAAAAAAGAGACAGATAACATGGTTTCTAAAAGCCTTTATCAATGTTGAATGGATACCAGTTGGGAAAGCTGGGTTAAGGGCAAACTTAGTTGGCTGTGAGGAGAGAGGCTTGATAACATCCCAAGGTACAGCAGATTTTCTGAGATATGAAAGGCTGTTATCTTACCCAAGGGCAATGTACAGAGATGGGAATGTTTAGAAAGGAAAGACTGAGATTTCTCAGCAAGACATTTGAATTGACCAAATTCAGTTTTAGTGATCAAAGCCTGTCTTGTTTCTAGTGATATTAATAAAATCAATGAAGCAATTGCCGACCAAATGGCCCTTTTCATTCAGCGCATGACCTCAACCATCTGTGGGTTCCTGTTGGGATTTTACAATGGTTGGAAACTGACCTTGGTTATTATTTCTGTCAGTCCTCTCATTGGAATTGGAGCAGGCATCATTGGTTTGGTAAGAATGTCTTTTTGCCTCTCTCCATGGAAAGACATTTGCACTCAAACAGCCAAAAATGTGAAGCTTGATCCCTTTCTCCTGAATATGTTTAATCATCATAATTATCACTGTGTTGGTTTATTTTGATTGTTCCCCTGTTTCAAATAACATTCTATAGAGTAAGAATTAATGATGTCTTAATAAGGTAAATATTATTTTGTTAACAGCAAGCAACTACATTTATTAAGTGTCTACTATTTTGCCAAGCACATTAGCAGTTTCATATTCACTTTCTTTAAATGCTTACAACAATCTTGTATAGTAAGTACTAATACCACTTTAAATAAAGGAAACTGAGGCTCAGAGACTTGTTTGAGAGTGCACGGCTGGCAGAGCAGGATTCAAGTTCAAGGGGGCCTGACTCCAAATCCTCACCCTCTCTCCAATATACCTATTGCTCTTTGTGTTCTCCCAAGATCAGATGCTCCCCTCAAAAAGGCACAACAAACATACCCAGATGAGTAACAAGCATGTAAAAGAGATTCTGCAATTACAACTGTGTTCTCCATTTCAACTGATGGGTTTCAAAAAAAGGTTACCTAACGCATTCTGAGCATTATCCCCGTCACAGTGTGTTCCCCAGGTATTCCAGGCCAAGACAAAGTTAGAAATAGGAATTTTGAGTCACCCCAGTTAAAAGCACTCATAAGGATTGAGAAATTATTGTTTCTTATTTTAGAGCAGCCACATTAGATAGCAGGCCATGGGATCAGGCACACTAACAATTTGCAATAAATGAGAAAAGAATTTAAGTGAAAAGCTGTACTCAAGCATCACTGAGCAACAGGTACCAGTCCCCATGATGATATTGTCTAGCAAAATATTCTCACAATCTGTGTCTATATTATTCAAACATTTCCCAGGTAATGTAGAAAGTGGTTTAAAGTGACTGTAGCAAAGAGCTCACTCCATTTCACTAGGCTCTACCACGAATAAGTTGTGTGACTCAAGAAAAATACACTCGACCTGTCAAAACCTAATTTTTCTCATCTTTAAAAAGGGATAATACCTCACAAAGTCACTGTGATGATTCAGGGCATAATCCATGTTATGCACTTAAGCACATTATGGCACTGAATCAATTACTAAAGAGATTCTCCCCCACCCTGCAATCTACTATACCATGCAAGCTTTAAAACAGTCTTTTCTACCAAAAACTTTCAATTATACTTCAGGAAACCCTCAGCTTCCACAGAGGGGCTTTAAGGGTTTCTGCAAGCATTTGATTCAGGTTTTTTTCTTCAAATACATTTAGTCTCTTTCTTCAAACCTGTGATAAATTAATATACACACTCGAATGGATCATAGGCTACATTTTAACATGTCGGAGACTAAAAACATAGCCTGATTCACTTGGCTTTAAACAGGTTTACAGTACAGTTTCTCTTTTTTGTCTCAGTGCCCATGTTGTAACTTCTCATAAATGTGTCACTGATTTGGAATGTGGTAACTCTGCACTGTCTTGTTGCATTCAGATCTGTGCATGTTTGTTACTGCAAAATGATACAGGCAACTTCATTAGGTTCAGTTCAAAGGCAGAGATGGGAAACATATGACACATTAGAAGTTATCATGGTTCTGTATGCTTTTGTCTAACCTTTAAATTTGTACTGAGAAACACGAGCAATTGTTAAGTATTTCTTAATACATGCCTTTTAAGCTCCTGTATCAGTTTAATTGAAGTGTCCTGAGATTATTTAATGGGCAATTACAATAAAAACATATAATTCGCAACTACTTAATTTTCTCATTACTGTGCTGCCAATACATATTTCAGGAATAAATTAGATGAGGAGTGTGTTAAAAACATCCACATCATTATAAAGCCCATGTGCAAATTTAATGTTGATAAAAATAGCCTCACTTTCCTTAATGTTGCCTTTTCAATTCACAAATTTTATAAAATGTGGACTGACAAATATACTGTAAAAACCACTATTTTGACTTATTTTGTACCTTAGAAGTCTGTGTAAGACTTTGTTTGATAAGAGCTTTGCTGCTAAACATTTGGAAAAACGATTGGTAGACAAATTCCCTTAGTCTAACTATTATTTATTTTTTAGATTTCCGAGTTAGTTGATTTTCCACAACATTTGCTTTTCCCCCTTTTTGTTTCTTAATCTGTTCCACTGGTTTCTTTGGGGGCTAATTTTGACTAGGATTCAATCCACACTCAATTTTAGAAAAAGTAACTTGTTACTATTAAGCACAGATGTCTTTTCATTTTCTTTTGTAAAAATCGAAGCTAAAATTGAGACCCTACAGATGAGCCAAAATGGTGCAATATTTGCCTGAACCTTTCTTCTCCAGAATTACCTCTGCAACGTCATGCCTTTGCATGCTTTGATCCTTTCTCTTGTTTTATACCCTAACCAATCATGATGTCTGCATGAGCCTCTGGTCTTTGCCTCTGGGGTTTGTCTATAAACTGTAATGGCCTTTAGCTAATCTCAGTGAAATATGACATGGTTTGACTTGAAAACTTCATTAATGTAAATAAATACACTTTAGTCTCACAGAATGACCCATTTAAAACTTAGTCTATGAAAGGGTTTTTGAGCCTAACTTTTAATGGAGTCATTTTGATATATCAACAACCAAACATCCACAGATGAGGTTTAAGATAGACCAAACTTGGACCAAATTCTTTCCTCCTGTGAATAATGTTACAGTGAGAATTGAGTCTTGTTTTAACCATACCACAGGTTTACTTTTAAATGAATCACTGAATGACGGGCTGTTTACCTAATTATCTGGTCTTCACATTTTCTCTTCTTCTTCTGGATTTTAGAGTGTGTCCAAGTTTACAGACTATGAGTTGAAGGCCTATGCCAAAGCAGGGTCGGTGGCTGATGAAGTCCTCTCATCTATGAGAACAGTGGCTGCTTTTGGTGGTGAGAAAAAAGAGGTTGAAAGGTTGGTTAACCGGAATGACTGCCACTTTCCTGAACTTCATCAATTAGCACAGTACCTTGGATGTTCCCTACTTTGTATGAAGTGGCCGGCACACCTTGGTCTATAGTCTCCTGAGGGAGCATTTTTTTCAAGAGGTAGCTAAGCAGAGTAGCAAGGTAATTTAGATTGGTCAAGAACTGCAAGAAGTCCCAAGCCTTTAGCAATGTGTTTTTGAAGATGTTGTAGTTGATGATTTTTAGAAAGCCAACTTAGGATAGATACTTATTTCATATGTATGTGTATATATTGTACCTCATACCAGTTTATAACACCATTTGCTGCTATTTAAGAAAAACCTACATGAAACGTTACAACTGATACCATAAGAGACTACTATGAACAATTATTTGCTAACAAACTGAATGATCTAGAAGAAATGGATAAATTTCTACAAACATACAACCTACCAAGGCTGAATCACAAAGAAATAGAAAATCTGAAATCTAAACAGACCAATTATGAGTAAGGAGATTGAATCAGTATTAAAGTCTTTTGTCAAAGGACCTGATGCCTGCTGAGTTCTACCAAGCATTTTAAGAAGAACTAGTATCAGTCCTTCTCAAACTCTTCCAAAAAATGGAAGAGAGGGAATAGTTCAAATTCATTTTACAAGGCCAGCATTACCACCTGATACCAAAGCCAGACAAGGACACCTGAAAATTATAGGCCAATATCCCTGATGAACATAGATGCAAAAATCCTCATCAAATTACTAGCAAACCAAATTCAAAAGTACATTGAAAGGATCATTCACCATGATCAAGTGCGATTTGTTCCTGGGATGTGAGGATGGTTCAACATATGCAAACCAATTAATGTGATGCACCACATTAACAGAGTGAAAGACAAAAAACATGTGATGACCTCAAGAGTTGTCAAATAAACATTTAACAAAATTCAACATCTTTTTATGATAAAAATTCTTGTTGTATAGAAGGAATGTACCTCAACACAATAATGATCATATATGACAAGCCCACGGCTAAATTATACTCAGTGGTGAAAATTTGAAAGCTTTTTCTCTAAGCTCAGGAACAAGACAAGGATGTCAACTCTTGCCACTTTTATTCAACATAGTACTGGAAGTCTTAGCCAGAGCAATTAGACAAAAGAAAGAAATAAAAGGCATCCAAATCAGAAAAAAAGTTAAATTGTTTCTGCTTTCAGACATGATCTTATATGTAGAAAACCTTAGACTCCACCAAAAACCTGTTAGAACTAATAAATGAATTCAGTAAAGTCTTAGGATACAAAAACAACTTCTAAAAGTTAATAACGTTTCTATGCACTAACAATGAACTACCAGAAAAAGAAATCAATAAAACAATCCCATTTACAATAACTACAAAAAAAAAAAAAAAAACCAAACAAAAAGAATAAATTTAACCAAGGGGTAGAAAGATCTGTACACTGAAAACTATAAGAGGAAAGAAATTGAAGAAGATACAAATAAATGAAAAGATATTATATGATCACTGATTGGAAGAATTAATATTGTTAAAATGTCCATACTACCGAAAGCAATCTACAGATTCAATGCAATCCTTGTTAAAATTCCAATGATTTTTTTTCAGAAATAGAAAAAAATGATATTTTTTACAGAAGTAGAAAAAACAATCCTAAAATTTATATGCAACCACAAAAGACCCTAAGTAGCAAAAGCAATACTGAGCAAAAAGAACAAAGCTGGGGGTATCACACTACCTAATCTGAAAATCTACTACAAAACTATAGTAATCAAAACCGCATAGTACCAGCATAAAAATAGACACATAGACCAATGCCACAGAATAGAGAGATCATAAATAAAGCCATGCACTTATGATCAATTGATATTTTATAAAGATGCCAAAGACATAGTGAAAGGACTGTCTCTTGAATAAATGGTATAGGGAAAAATTGTTATCCACACAAAGAATGAAATCAGTCCCTTAAGTCAAACCATATAAAAAATCAACTCAAAATGTATTAGAAACTTAACAGTAAGACCTAAAACTATGAAACCACTAGAAGGAAGCATAGGGGCATAGGGAAAAAGCTTTTTGACACTGGTCTGGGAAATAATTGTTTGGATATGGCCACAAAAGCATAAAAAAAAAAAAAAAAAAAAAAAAAAATAGGCAGGTGTGATTACATCAAACTAAAAATCTCCTATATAACAAAGGGAACAGTCGACAGAGTAAAGAGACAACCAATGAAATGGGAGAAAATATTTGCAAACCACACTCATACATCTGATGAGGGGTTAATATCCAAAATATATTCAAATCTCAAACAACTCAATGGCAAGAAAACAAATAACCCAATTAAAAAATGGTCAAAGAACCTGAATAGACACTCCTCAAAAGAAATCATACAAACAGCCAACAGGTAAATGAAAAGATGCTAAACATCGCTAATCATCAGGGAAATGCAAATCAAAACCCCAATGAGATATCATCTCATGCCTGTTAGAATAGCTATTATCGAAAAAATGAAAACCAACAAGTATTGGGGAGTATGTAGAGAAAAAAAGAACACTGGTATACTGTTGGTGTGAATGTAAATTAGTACAGCCATTACACAAAACAATATGAAGGTTCCTCAAAGAATTAAAATAGAACCACCATATGATCCAGTGATCCCATTACTGGGTATATATTCAAAGGAAATGAAATCAATTTGTTGAGAGATATCTGCACTCATATGCATTACAAAATTGTTCACAGTAGCCAAGATATGGAATTAACCTAAGTGTCCATCAATGGAAGAATGGATACAGAATGTGGTATATATACACAATGAAATTCAAGCTGCCAAAACAGCACAGTGGTCAAAAATATGATTTTTTATTCTTTAATTTATCTAATATTTATTGAGTGCTTACCATGTGCCATGTACTGATTTTATAAAACAACCACCAACAGAATGCAAACTCTTATGTGTTGTAGATCTGGTAGGATGATGTTATTCTCAATTGCTACCAAATTCACCAAATAAAAAAGAGAATAGGATTTATAATCTCCAATTATCCTGTTTTCTTTTCTTTTTTAACTTTTTTTTTTTTTTTGGTTTGTGAAGTGAGGTTACCTGATTTCTCATAAAAAATTTCAGTTCCACATTTTCTTCATCATGGTAGATATTATCTTTTCTTGTTAACAAAAAAGGCAGCATGTTTTAAAAATAGTAGCAAGCATAGGATAGACCTTTAGTTTGTGTCCTGTGAAAGGGTAAAAGTTCTCCATGAATTCATTTTTTTGAGATGTAGGGAGGCAGTTTCAAAATGTCTGAGCTGTAAGACAAGGCCCATTGTTAATGGCTAGATCATAGAATTACTGAACCCTAGTCCTGGCACTAAATTTCCACATAGTTTCAGTTATCCATGGCCCATGGCTATGAACCAGACCAGTTATGTCACAGCATGGCATCTTGGCTACAAAGCCGATCAGTGAATATAGGTAGATGAGTTAGTCCAAACACTAGTTCCAAGTCTGGGTGGCTGGAAACACCCAAATAGTCTAACCAGCTTGTTTGGAGCCAATTACGTTCTTTTCTTTTTTTTTTTTTTAATTTTTTAAAAATTTTATTTTGTCGATATACAATGTGGTTGATTATTGTGGCCCATTACCGAAACCTCCCTCCCTCCTCCCTCTCTTCCCTCCCACCCGACAATGTCCTTTCTGTTTGCTTGTCGTTATCAACTTCAAGGAATTGTAGTTGTTATGTCTTCTCCCCCCCGCCGTTTTTTTCTTTTGTGTGTGTGTGTGTGAATTTATTTATTTATTTTTACCTCCCCCAATAAGTGAGAACATGCGACTCAAGGAAACAATTCAAGCTCAAATAGTACTAGATCCCTCCTGTCCAAACGTTTGTGTTGAAAATTTTTTTCTCTTGGGGTCAAGCTTTCCCCACTGTTATTCATCCAAGCAGCAATCATCTCTATGAGGCTTTATTGAGTAGCGTCCTTTCAACATGTTTTATTGCCAGTTTAAAACAAATTGTAAATAACAACACCGAAGTTATTGTAGATTTCTTTCCCTAAATCTGCTCTCTGTTTGGGGTGACTTTATAATCATTGAGTAAAGCCACAGCATTGTGGCCTGTTTCAGATATTATAATTTGAGCTGCTGCTGGTGAAATTGATTCAAATATTTTCTCTCCACAGGTATGAGAAAAATCTTGTGTTTGCCCAACGCTGGGGAATTAGAAAAGGGATAGTGATGGGATTCTTTACAGGATACATGTGGTGTCTCATCTTTTTTTGCTATGCACTGGCCTTCTGGTATGGCTCCAAACTCGTCCTGGAGGAAGGAGAATATACACCAGGAACCCTTGTGCAGGTATGTTCATCTTGTTGATCTAGACATGACATTTCCAGCTGGTATCTCAGAAAAGTTCATGGATTGGGCATTTTGTTTATTACTTTAGTGTTGGAGGGAGGAAAGCATCAATGATTTGATGGAGCCCATCTACAGGAACAAGCAACACTTAGGCATTTTGTAGTAAAGAGTTGCTGAGCATTTGAATTGATGAGACCAGCAATATAATGATTTCCAGTCAACTGAAGATTTTATAGCTGTAAAAACAATGACTTTCTGACTGGGTACAAGAGATAATATGCCATGAAAATGGAAAGTCAGTGATCTCTCAACTAAAAATTAACAGCTCATATAGTTGAGCTTAATAAACTGTACAAGATATGTGCTAATGGATGTATTTGTGATACAGAATGAGTTACTAAAATACCAAATCCATAATATTCTCAACTGAACAGGTCAGGCAAACATTTTATTGCTCACTTGTGCTATGCCATGCCGCAGCTATTGCCATGGCAACGTTAATATTCAGTGTCTTTTCAGCTGCTCATTCAGTAAGTAATTGTTGAGCACTGACTATGTGCCAGACCCATACAAAGTGCAAGGGACTCAATAGTGAGCAAAAGAAATGTGATTTTTTTGCTTTAATGGAATTTACAGTGTAGCGGGGAAGATAAGCAATAATTAAATAATCATGTAAATGCATAATGATAAATGATGATATGAGGATGTTTCAAAAAGTTCACGGAAAAAATTAAATTACAAGATTGTACAAATCTTTCCATGAACTTTTTCAAGTACCCTCGTATATGCTATAAAGTAGTGAATAGCAGTGAATAGCAGGGTGACCAGCTGTGGCAGGGATTAGAGAAGGCTTCTCATCCTCCTCCCTCTTCCAAGGTGTTTCTTTCCTCCTTAGCTCCAGCCCCTCTCCTTACAGCTGGAATCGAGTCACTGTTCAGATTCTCAGCTGAATGGAACTTTCGCAATCAGGACTCCCATGCTCATCCAGTCTTATTCTCTTTAATGACATGCTCTACTTTTCTGTCAGAGCACTTAAGTGACATTGAGCATTTGCATTTATTTACACTTGTCCCCACCCCTTTTTGTCCTCAGACAGGAAAGTCCATAAGGTCAGGGAGGTCAGAAACAAAATACTGGTTTCATTTGGTCTAGCAGGGAGATGAGAAGTAGTTTCATATAAGATTCTTAAGTAAGATGTTTTGGCTCCAAATTCTGGGTGAAACAAGCAACAATTAAACAACAACAACAAAAAATCGAAATTTTGTATACCAGAAATTTACTAGCTGAAAGATTACAATTTGAGATCTACTGCTTTAATATAAACATATTTCTAGGGAAAATTAAATGGGATTTTGATTTACAAATAGAAATGATTATCTGTGGTCAAGCCACAATTAATCTAAGCCACTGACATTGTTTCATTAAGAGCATGATAATATACTGAGAACGACTTTTTAAATTCAGTTCATCTTTGCAACATGAATAACTGACATCTCTTTGAACTTTGTTTAAGAAATTAAATATGATAAAACGTGTTAAAGTGTTTTGTAAACTTTAAAAGGATAGTATGGATGGAAAGTGTTACTACTATCGTAATTTAACCACTTTCTTAACGACTTGGGTATAGTTTTGCACATTGGAAAAATCTGTGAAAGTTTTGCAGTCTGAAATCTGACTATAAAGTCCCTTGTCTTTATTGATCCAATTACTCCCAAGGACTTTTGACATTTACCAAACCAGGCATAACAGTAGTTGACGTTAGTCTCAGCTCCTTATATTTGCTCACTCTGCAGAAAGGCACTGAGAAAAGCCCTCCTTCCTTTCATTCCATGCCTACAAGGAGAGGATGGAAGTATACATGAATACATGAATATACATGAGTATTCAGAGGGAAAAATGAATTGGTAAATTGAAAATTAAATAATACACAATTCCAGTTAGAATCATTGAATAAAATGCCACTTGGTAACTTTCTCTAGCAGGAAGCCATTGTATGGTTTCCATCTTTAAGTTTCTTGTTAATTGGTCTGTGGGCTACTCTATATTTTCTGTAAATAATTCATTCTTTCAACTGATATTTCTTGATTACTTATGAAATGCAGACATGGTATACTATGTGTCTGTAACATTTTAATCATCAATTATTAACCTCCTACTCCTACCTCTTCCTGCAAACCTCTGCTTACACCTTAAGAAATTCTTCTCCGGGAAAATGAAAGGCATCCTTTAACAGTATGACCCTTGTTCCCTCCTCTCTCTCTCTCTCTCTCTCTCTCTCTCTCGCTCATGAGTTCTTGGCTGTACTTCTGCACAGCAAACAATGAGGGCTGAGCACGCTTGAGTGAGCTGTTTTAATCCACTCAACTAATTAATAATTAGGTTAATTAAGTACATTTTTTGATGCACAAAATCTTTACTGGCTACATGGTAATTGGGCATACATGGTAAGTAGTTCCCAAAAATGACTACAATTAGTATCATTTGTACACAGACAAAAAACACACTCTGAGGTCTGTTAGGGAAAGACGAAGGGGAACTGAATCATGTAGAGGGCTGCTCTTTCATGCCCCTCTGAAGTTTCAGGATTTAATAATAAAAGATAACAATAATAGAAAGCAGCATTCATTCAGTGAGTACAAGGTGTCAAGCACTGAGTGAGGTATTTAATAAAATTATTGTATTTAACGCTTATGGCTTCACTCTGTAATTGGTGCCATTACACTACCACTTAAAAAAAGAAATAGAGGACATCAGTTAAGAAATATGTGCCAAGTGGCAAAGAGTGAGATTTGAACTCAGGTCTCTGTGATTCTGGGGCTGATCCATTAACCATTGTTTTCCTGCCTCTGGGTCTGTCTTCCAAGGGGCCACAGACCCCTTTTTTTTTCCAGCACAACATGCCCATAGATTGATGGTTCCACAGCAGTCCATCTTCCCACACTACTGTCCCCAGGCTAAGGTGTTCAGGGTGAAAAATGCTGCTCTGCTGGGATGTGTGCTAGCTACTGTGATGGCATTAGGCATGTGCCTCTGTCCTGTGTCACTCTTACCTAAGAACCTTCCGAGACACTTTCACCTGAGGTGGTGGCTTGCAAAGCCACGCTAAGCAAGGGCTTGACCCAAACCTCCATTTAGGCCTCCAGTGAGTCTGTCTAGACTCCAGACCAGAATTCAGCAAACTATGGGCCAGAGGCCAAGTCCAGCCCACCACCCATTTTTTAGAAATAATGTATTATTGGGGCATAGCCACAGTCATTTATATTGCCTGCGGCTACTTTGGTACCACATAGTAGAGCAGAGCAATTGCTTCAGTGCCTATATGGCCTGAAAAGCCTAAAATATTTACTGTTTAACCCTTTACAGAAAATGCTTGCCGACACCTGATCTAGGGCATGTGGAAGGTCCCATTGCTGAGGCAGGAAGACCACTGATGAGGGTGGTCTTAAGCAAATTAGACCACAAGAACTGTTCTGTCCGCTCCCTTTAGCACTTCCTAAGAGTGGGACCTCGATACTTCTTTTTCTTTTTTATCATCATCATCATCATCACTCTTATTTATGTGTCTAACACTAATTAATTGTCTTTACACACATTATCTCATTTAATCCTCATAACAATCCTATGAAGTGTGTACTGTCATTATCCCTGTGTTCCAGAGGAAGGAACTGGGGTTTCAAAGATTAAGTAATCTGCCTATGGGAGAAAAAATCCGCCACAATTGAGGAGAGGAGCAAGAACAGATGAAGAGAGAATGATTGTCCTGTGCATAGGCCGGGGAATTTAGGGGGAGGGCGTGTGTGGGCCAGCCCATCCCCTGCATCGAGAAGCTCTGGCCCTGTTAATCATCCCGATGTGTGAATGGAGAGCTTACAGGAGAGGGAGCGAGATGTCTTGGATGCTGTGAGAAGCTCCATGGTCCAGCTGCTCCCACCACAAGGAAGAAAGAGTGGAGAGAGACTCTGGAGTAATTTCCCCTTATGTGATATAACCAGTGGGAAGAGTCTGGCCTATGGAAACCAGACTGGGATCATTTAATTATCTAAGAAAGATTACATTTGTGCAGGAGCCAGCCTTTAGCGTGGCAAGAGACAGTGGCCCACGAAACATCCTCCATGCGAGTGCAGGAGTAGGACCATTCTTTGCTTGACAGAGTGGACAGGAAGAGACTTGTGTTCCTCCCAGATGCCAGCTTGAGGAACTGCCTCATTGCCTCTTCATCTTTATAAACAGTGCTGAGAAACACAGAGTGCTGTTTGGTAGCACGTAATGAGATGGCTGGGTTGGTGAGTCAAAGGCCAGCTTCCCCAGCTGTGCACAGGAACCCCGCCACTCCACCCTCCTGCAGCCAGCAGCAGGAGGGGCTGGGAGCCAGGCAGAAAGACAGTCAAGAGCCTGGGTTCAAATGCTGCTGTCACTTATCACAAGTTGTGACTTAAGACAAGTTAGGGAACCTCCATGCCCATCTGTTTCCTCTTCAGTTGTAAGAATTAAGTGAAGTAACACAGATAAAGCACTTAGAGACATACCCTGTAATTATTGTTGTTGCTACTGTTAGTAGTAGTATGAGGGTACTTCAAAAAGTTTGTAGAAAAATAGAATTAAAAGGCAATATGAATCTTTTCATGAACTTTTCAAAGTACCCTTGCATAGTAGTAGCAGCAGCAGTGGTTATCCTAGTGATTAGTATTGGAGTACTGCTAGCAGTAGTAGCAGATTGGTTTTGCATGTGCCAAACTCCGGGACAGTCAAGCTAATCTTAATGTCTTTATTGTTTCGGCAACCCTTTAACCAGAAAAACATTATAAGGCCAATTATATAATGAATCAAATTATCATATCACTTTTCTAACCAACTTTGTGTCTATATGCTGCCTTACTCATTTCAAAACAATTTCTGCTTTGTAGAAATTCAGTAAAGAGTAATGTTAGTTTTTAAAATCATAACAATGAAAAAATTAGGGATGCTTTACAGAACAAAAACTATTCCAGGCATTTCAAAGTGCCAGAGAGCTATTTAGCTTTCAAACTCCCATGGAAGAATATTTCTGAGAAACTTCTGAGTTCTCGTGGATGGCCCAAATGACAGTGAGCACTATTTACACATTGACAAAAACACGTGAGAATGATGTCCCTCTCTTTGCATTTCAGATTTTCCTCAGTGTCATAGTAGGAGCTTTAAACCTTGGCAGTGCATCTCCTTGTCTGGAAGCCTTTGCAACTGGGCGAGCAGCAGCCACCAGCATTTTTGAGACAATAGACCGGGTATGTGAAAGCCAACAGTAAAGGCAGGTGGGAGTGGGGTGGGGTAGGGAGTGAGCCCCTGACGAATTTACCCTCAATGTTAAAAAATGTGAGGAGCTGTCACGATGCCCTTACTTCAGTAAGATATATTAAGTGCTATCATGAGCCAGAATGATTCTAAGAACTGGGAGAGCAACAGGGAAGCAGAACCAGTCAGGCCCCTGCTCTCTTACTCATCCCGGGAGGCAGGCAGTCGGGAAGTGAGCACATTCGAAGGCCAGATCAGCTCGTGATAGGCACGATGAAGGAAATAAAATAGGGCTATGCGTTAGGGACCAGGGTCGGGAGAGGAGGGTTTAAATTGGGAGGTGGTGACAGAATCTCTGAGGAGGTGGCATTTGAGCTGAGAACCAGAGGAGAGTCAATCATACAAAGGGGGGTGGGGATGGAGGTGGTGGTGCCCGGGAGGTGACAGTGAGAGAGTGTTCATGGAAGAGAGACCTCCAGGGTGGGCAAGGGCTTGGTGCTCAAGAAGCTGGAAGAGTCCAGTGTGACTGACAGAGAGAGCAAGGGGCAGAGGCTGCCGGGAATGGAAGGGGCCAGGTCACTTTAAGCAGCAAGATTCTAAGACCAAGTTCATAAGATTGGATTACCTTCTAAATGGAAATTCTCTCTAAGCTTGTAAAAGGCCTTGGTAGCCTGGCTAGGATTTTACTGGTTAATCTGTTGAAACACATCGGACAAGCTAGGGAAGAGACAGAACAGAAGGGCAAGCTGGCAGGATGTTGTCCTTTCCCTCTGAAAACACGCCCTGGGCTAAGAGTCAGAAGCTCTGGAAATTCAGAGGTGCTTCGTGGGTTCCCTGAACCGTGAATATGTTTTGGCCAAACAATGAGGCTGTGACATGCCTGAGGAAGCTGCTCATCACTTCTTCTGTTTCCTATTGTGAGGTTTCATATACTGGGGCATAGGCAGATTGATGAAAACCACATAAAAATGTTGAGGTATTCAAATTCTACCTCATTCTTAGGGTCGCTTTATCCTCAGATGAAATGACTCTAAAAGGGCCCTGAAACTATTACCAAAAATTAAGTCATTTAAAAGTTATTTTTATTACCTTTATTAGACACCCAAGAAGAAGAAAAGAGATTACACTACACCCCTAAATAGAGCAATAGTGATGGGTTTCTATCACTAGTAGTGGAAGAGGGAAGAAGCTGACCCTGAGTGTCCTGGCAGCAGGAGGTAGCCTTCCCCCAGTGGTTAAGTTCTACATTAGGCTTGCTATTAGCAACAACAAGGTGTTGTTCAATTGATATCCTGAAATTCAGGATATCAGTTGAAAGATGATAGTATTTGAAGATATCACTTGAGAATGCTCGGTTTGAATTATCACCTACGGTGGATACTCAGCTGTAGATTACCACTGGACCCCAGCTTGGTTGACTAGTGGCACGGCCCTAGGCAAGAAACCGAATCTCTCTGAGACTCCGCCACTTCCTCAACTGAAAAATGGGCATATCACCTGTCTAGTTAGGTTATGGCGACTATTATGTAAATGAAAAAAAGCACATTAAAACACCTTGTAGGGCTGGTGGTTAGCTCAGTTGGTTAGAGCATAGTGCTAACACCAAGATCCAGGGTTTGATCCCTGTACAGGCCAGCTGCCAAAAAACCAAAAAACAAAACAAAAACACCTTGTAAATTGTCTCCCATAATAATATCTAAATAATACAATAATATAGAATAGTAATATGTAGTTGTTATAATATATTATACATCACTTACATATTAATACTATATATCATATATTAATAAACTACATATTATACGCTCTTACTATGTAATAACTCAATAAATAATAATGGTAATTAAATAAATTAATGAATAAAACATGGTATTATTATTAAATTGATATATAATATTAACAATATTATTAATAAATAGTAATATATTAATATTTTATAGCAATATCAATAAGGAGTAATTATTATTATCACTATTATTAATAAATATTTAATATGGTAGTGACTTATCATTAGTATATCTCTGCAATATTTTGCCTGGTTGTTGTTCTGTTTTATGAGTAAATTCAAACTAAGATGGACAGTAAATGCATATAACACATGTTGCGGCTATATCCCTTTTATATTCTACTCCAGAAACCCATCATTGACTGCTTGTCAGAAGATGGTTACAAGTTGGATCGAATCAAGGGTGAAATTGAATTCCATAATGTGACCTTCCACTATCCTTCCAGACCAGACGTGAAGGTAAGTACCAGTCTTTGCCCTGGAAACAATGGACATTTTCTTCTTTGATGACTCATTTCCAGAGGCACCAAATTGCTTGTGTTCTGAAGCCTGACTCTGTTTCCAGGAACAGGGAACAGAAGCATGTTTCTTTGGAAGTGTCCTTGAGTGTTATGTCATCTCAGGTGACACACCACATTCCTTTGTGATAACTGTACTGTGCAAATCCCTCTGGTTGGAACACAGTCTGGCAGCACATTCAGATTAAGTGAACTGTGTGATGCTCTGTTGAAATGAGTGACAGGTCCTGTCCTTCTAAGCACATGTGAGATAAACTGCAAGACAATCAGAACAATCAAGAAGTACAACTTCATCGCCACCTCCTTAGAGACTGCAGAAGGTGGAGCACATTGAGTGGGTAGGGTGTGAAGTGACAAAGGAAAGCGGCTGTCTGTAATTTTTTACTTCCCAGCTGCAAATTCATCAGGGTTACTGGATCAGTCTATAGGCCGGTATCCTTGTGACATTAAGCTTGTGTGACTTGTATTAGGAGATTGCCCAGAGCACGTGGTGAAAAAAATTCACAGTTTTCCTGTGTGTTTGGAGCAAGTATCTTTAAAGACAATTTACTCTACAGGAAAATTAGTGTCTACTCCCCCTCATTAAATTGGCTTTAAAATGAGACCCATTCCTCATTTTTAACAGAGCATCTTTAGCCTCCTTTTCTTAATAATATTTCTGTTATCCCCACAGAACTAAAATCCCATCTTGTTAGCATAATTTAATTCTGATCGCACATACCTATAATACAGATATATATACACACAGAGAGAGAGGAGATAGGTATATATAATGTGGGTAAATATATTTATATTGTATAATATTTATAGTAATTTACCTATATTATGTATATGAGTATAAACAGCTGTTACATAGTCATGTAAATATATAATAGGTAAATATAAAATATGCCTATTATAGATAATATAAATATATTACATATATTTATTTGCATTATATATAAATATAAAACATAAGTAAATATATATATTCTGCTCACATATTTGAAGTATATATTTTCTTATTGTATATTACATATGTACCTAAACATCAAATTTTATCATGAATGTAAAAGTGCTTTATAAAATATAAATCACAAGGTAGTACTCGCTCAGTAAATATTTTTGAATGGATGGCTAAAACTTTCGTTATAGAACCTGCTCAGAATCAGTTCATTGTAGCTACTCTGCAAGCATTGGTCAAATTGAAACACATTTACTTCATTTCTGTTTTATCTTGTATTCGCAATTTTTTAAGTGAAATTTTCTTACTTATACCCATGGATATTCTTCATTCAAAGCACAAGTATGTATTTAGCCCTGCTGGGCTCCACATTGTACTGGGGCCATAACCATAAAAAAGCACATTCGATGCCTGTCTGCCCTGGTGAGCTTATAGTCCAACATGGACCAGTAAGTGGAAATGTATTTGCAAGCTTGACTTTCCAGTGAGAGACATGAGATTTTGTCATATAGAGGACTCTAAACCATCTTTACATAATCAGTGCAAAGTCACCTCTTGATTGTGAAAATATCCAACAGATAGTTATGAATGATTTTCTTGTCCTTCCCTCTCAAGACTTACCAGCATTCACTCCCTACGTTTGACCATGCTTTAGACCTAACAAACACACCACAAACATTTATTAGGAAAATTTTTTCAAATAATACATTCACATGCCATACAAGTGTACAATAGCTAAAAATCTTCAAACTGGTTTATTGTTCATTGTGGATCAGTAAATTAGTATTGTATTTCTAACAATGGTTTTTTTTAACTAATTGGGACAGTCTCCTTGAGGTATCCTAGTACATCAGAAGTGTTTTAAATTAGATTTTGGAACATAATTTTAAACGTTTACTTAGCTTATTTACTTCACCAGTGTTAACACATAATTTTATTTGTTGGTCGCAGCTATTAAGTAAGGTGTGAAATGCTAAAACCTCGTCCTAGGTACTGCCTCCTTTTGCTGGTTATTGATGGATATCAATAGATATTGCTTTGGGGGCATAGGTAAACACACTTGTGTGTGCGCACGCACGCACACACACACACACACACAGTGTCTTCACAAAGCATCCACACTTGTAGCCTAAGTGCTTGATTTGGTACACAGTGACAATCTGAACTTTGTTTTCCTTCCTTTCCAGATTTTAAATAACCTCAACATGGTGATTAAACCAGGGGAAATGACGGCTCTGGTAGGGTCCAGTGGAGCTGGGAAAAGTACAGCACTGCAGCTCATTCAGCGATTCTACGACCCCTGTGAAGGCATGGTGTGTATCTTCCAGAAACTTATCAATAAATAGGGACAGGAGTGTGCAAATGACAATATACTGGTCAAACAGGCCTAGCATACACTGAAACTGTCCTGGCACACTAATAGATGTAATGGTTTTTGACTGAATTGACGGGACAAACTCCACCCATGGTGACAGTATTCAGTGAATAACCAGTCAATTCCACTTGCTGGGTAATGTAACTGAATGAGTAGATACATTCGAAATGGTATTGCAGCCTCTTCAGTGAACTATGTATTCCACTTCTTTCTTTGTATCCTAACAAAATCATTGTTGTTTCCTTAAGTTCTTCAAATGCTTAAAATAGGAAAGCTAACACAGCTAGAGATTAACAAAGAACAAACCTTGATTAGAGAAGTTTGGTTAAAAATTTTTTTTAAAGTATGATTTCACAAACAATTTAGTCTCTTTTTCTTTGTGTTTATTATACTATAAACATAGACTGAAACTAACAAAATAAATAATAGTAACAACTGCCACTTATTTGTTGCATATTATGTTAGGCACTCTATAGAAATAATTCATTATTTTCACAATGACCCCCAAAGGTACATATACCCACTTTACTAATGAGGAAGCAGAGAGTCAGAGGGATGGAGACCTGCCTCAGGTCATTCAGCCAGTAAGTGACTGAGCCAGGATTTGAACCCAGGGGTGCTGGGTGCCCAAACCCAGGCTCTTTTCACTCTGTCTCACACTCATTTTTTTCAGCATCTCCTTGATGCTTTGAGGTGGAATCGTTTGTGTATTAAATGGCTTCAATGCAATGAGTTCTCTGTCATGCATGTGATGTTATACTGACATGGCAAATATAATGGAATTTTCCTTTGTCGGAGATATTTCATTCTCTAATTGGGAATTGTGCGCTATATAACACCATAACAGCATTCTGAATATGTAGAAATCATGGTTTCTCTCTTTTTTTTTTTTTTGTCTGTTGTCTTTTTCCGTGTCCGGCAACGGATCGCAACCTTCAGTGATGCCCCCGTACCGGACCGGGGACCGGCAATGGGATTGCAACCCTCGGTGTTGCTCCCGCGCCTCGCTCAGCCAGTGAGCAGGAACCGGTCTGTATGTGGGATCCAAACCCTCCGACGGGAGCGCCGCCGCGCTTCCCAAGCAGCGCACTATCCAGTGCGCCACCGGGCTGGCCCGAGAAATCATGGTTTCTTGACGTAAGATTTTTGCATTTTTGCTAATAATGATTTTTATTTGCTCCCACTTACAGCTTCAATTGCTTTTGAACAGCAAAGTCTTATTTGATGAATTAGGCTAGAAAGTAAGATTTACTATAAAGCATATATACAAGATAAGGATCATTGCTTATTTTAATTGCATCTTTTGAAGTGCAGTTTTGGTCACAAGTCAAAAGATAATAAAAATATTCAAAATATGGTGAATAACTGACTCTAATCTTCACTGAGGAATTAAAAAATTATTTTTTCCTGGGCCAACAGTGTTAAATTAAGTAATCTTTATATCATTTGTGTTTCTGCAATGAATTGTCTTGCAGTTGTACTTGATTTTAATTGTATATTGTTATTCTTATATTTAAAAAAACCACATTTCAAGAGAAATTCCTTCCGTTACAGTCTTGTCAGTCTCTATTTTTTTTCCCCATTGGTCAAGTACAGCATAATATGATTTGGAACACTGAAAGATTCTAAGAGATGTGATGCTGTGCTTATGCCCCCTAGGTGACTCTTGATGGCCATGACATTCGCTCTCTTAACATTAAGTGGCTCCGAGATCAGATTGGGATAGTGGAGCAAGAGCCATCTCTGTTTTCTACCACCATTGCAGAAAACATTCGCTATGGCAGAGAAGATGCGACAATGGAAGACATAGTACGAGCTGCTAAGGTGGCCAATGCCTACAACTTCATCATGGACCTGCCACAGGTACCCTAACTTAGGTTCCCTGCGGAAACCCAAAAGTCATAGATGGGAAAAAAAGTTATACAATAATACACATTTCTTATCATTGGAATCCTGAATCATTAAATTCTTAATGTCATGTTTTAGTTTCATGCCTGGAAATGTACCATGAATTGTCCCTTTTGTCTGAAAACATGTCATTTATACATTCAAAATCTACCAAACCGGGGAGATTTTTTTTTTGAAATGCTTTCTTTTTTTTTTTTGTCTTTTGTCTTTTTCCGTGTCCGGCAACGGATTGCAACCCTCAGTGCTGCCCCCGCACCGGACCGGGGACCGGCAACGGGATCGCAACCCTCGGTGCTGCTCCCACGCCTCGCTCAGCCAGTGAGCGGGAACCGGTCCGTATGCGGGATCCGAACCCTCGGGCAGGAGCGCCGCCGCGCTTCCCAAGCGGCGCACTATCCAGTGCGCCACCGGGCCGGCCCTGAAATGCTTTCTTTGTTATTAGTATATTAAAAATCTACCAAGCTATGGAACTATCTTTTTAAAATCTCCCTTTGATATAGATGCAATTTCTTTACTCCATCTTTAAGCATTTGTTTAAGCAAATTCTAAGTTGGTCATGTGGCAGTAACTTGCACAGTGTTCTCTTGATGTCCACCATTGTCATTGTTTTTTAGTTTTCTTGTGCTTAAGCCGCTAATATTATGTCCTCAGGACTCCCTCACACATTCAAAAACAATTCCTCATATATTATAAACAACATTATAAACAACAACTCCAAAAACCAACTCCATATGATTATACTTACATGGATTTTGCTACTAATGGTCTGCTAAATCAAAGAAGAGATATTGTTAATAGTTAACATGTATGTGGTGCTTACTACATACCAGGCACTGTTTGAAGCACTTTATATCTATTAACTCACTTGACCTTCATAACCACCCTGTCAGGCAGCTGCCTTTATTATCTGCATCTACAGATAGAGATCCGCAGTTCTAGGAGGTCAAGTAATTTGCTCAAGGTTGTACAGCAAATAAACAGGAAAGACAAGATTCATATGCAGGTGGTCTTGCTCCAGAGTCAGTGATCTTGAATGCTTTCTATTCAGCCTTCTGAATTACCTTATGAATAGGATTGCAGCTGTGAGTATGATAATGTCTAGTGGGTTAAGAGTCTAAAGCTTTAGAACCAGAGTGCCTTCATACAAATCTTAGCTTCTCCACTTACAAGCTTTATGAACTTCTGCAATTACTTTATCCCTTTATGCCCCAGCTTTTCCTTACTCATCAGTTGAGAACAGCAGTACCTGCCTCATGGGGTGTCTGTGAGGACTAAATGATATGATGTGAGTAAAAAACTCAGCATCACGCTTTATTTGTAGTAGGTGCTTAACTCATGTTTGCTAATAATAAGCAAGATAAGTGTCCGACTACTAACATCTCATTGTTAGATTCCAATGTAAAGCTAGGCGTGTGAGATAACTATTTACTCAGTAACTATTTACTGTCAATGATGATGACTATAAAGATAGTTTGACCTTTCATTCACAATAAAAAGACATTAGCATGATGTGTTCACATGCTGTCTAACTAGAGAACAGAGACAAGGATTTGATATGTACTTTAATCTTCTAACACAGATTTTCAGGACCCTGATCAATTTTTACTTTGGTTGAAAAATTTCATTTGACGTTGAGCTAAAGAGGAACATTTGCACAACCCAGTGAGCCTGGGAATAAAAGCATAAATAAATTTCTTTATCTCACATGCAGATAGTGATTAGACAATAACCTGTTTAGGGAAGGGGTATTTCTTTTAGTGAAAGTTGGATGTGTGAAAATTCATGCATGAGGAGGAAACTAGGAGGGACCTCATACTTGGACCACTGTCAGGAGTCATCAAATTCTTCTTCCTCCATGACTGGTGTCACCTTCCTCCTAGCAATTTGACACCCTTGTTGGAGAAGGAGGTGGCCAGATGAGTGGTGGCCAGAAACAAAGAGTAGCCATTGCTAGAGCCCTCGTCCGAAATCCCAAGATCCTGCTTTTGGACATGGCCACCTCAGCGCTGGACAATGAGAGCGAAGCCATGGTGCAAGAGGCACTGAGTAAGGTCTGTGGAAAACCTGGGTTCATTCTATAGGTTCGTGTGGAAATGCTTGTGCTGCTGCAGGGAAGGCAGCTCATGGGGGTTGGGGGCAGGTGATACCACATAGGTCCATGTATCCAGTCTCATTACTTAAAAAATATTGGCTGACTACAGTTTTCCTCACAGTTGAGCAAAAGACAGTTATGATTTGCTCCCCAAAGCTGCACATGTAAAATTTAAAATCTTAAGACTAACTTATAATATATGATTCTAAAAATTGCCTTCTTTTATTTTTAGCTGTTGATTAATAGCACAGGCCAGACCAATGTGTGATGGGGTTTATGGTTGCAAGAAAGTGTTTTGGCTCTTTCTAATGTCTGCACTGCCTGTTTAAGGATAGTTCCAGGGACCAAGGCTCTGACTGACTTGTGGATTTGGAGACGATCCAAAGGTCAATGTCAGCTGTGTCTTACAGTCTCACTAATGGTGTACATTCTTCCAGATTCAGCACAGGCATACAATTGTCTCAATTGCTCATCGACTGTCCTCGCTCAAAGCTGCAGACATCATCATTGGTTTTGAACACGGCACAGCAGTGGAAAGAGGCACCCACGAAGAACTGTGGGAAAGGAAAGGCGTTTACTTCACTCTAGTGACTTTGCAAAGTCAGGGAGATCAGGCCCTTAATGAAGAGAATGCAAAGGGCAAGTGCCTTTTCCCTTCTGCTTGTGCGTTCTATTAAACAGTTAACACGTATAGTGCTTGATGACTTTCTGTGCGTTTTAGTACATACTGTCTGATTTGTTCTCCCACAGCCCTGGCAGGCATTAGATGGAGGAGAAAGGAAACGACTGAAGCTCAGGAGGTCACATTGTTTGATCAAGTCATAGACCAAACCTACGGTCTTCTACCTTTCAATTCCATCCCCTTTTCTTTACCCTTTGCAAGTAGGAGAGGCTTCCTAGAGGGTCCTGCACACAGTAGGAGCTCCATTCTTATTGGTTGAGTTAATTAATCAATGACTAACAAGTATTACACTTATTTTCAAATGTAGACAGATACTGCAGGCTCTAGTATACCTTCTCCTTATCTGAATGTCCAGATATGGTTGTTACCCCAACCTAAATTAATTGCCTACTTTAAACTTTTTCCACCATTTCACATTTGAATTTGTGAGTTCTGTTAGGTATAATTGCTATATGCATTTAACACATGAGTTATTCTGAATAGTCTTTTGATAGTTTGGTGGTTCTGTCTTTTTCTTTTTTTTTTTTTTTTGCCACTTCTACTGGACTTGTTTTGCACTTTTTATGATTCATGCTAAAAGATATCTATTTCTGTAGAGGTAACAGGCTATCACACGGTTCAAATGACCCAGTCTTGCTGAATATTTAGAAATTTTTTGTTAGAATGTACTGGAGTTCCAAGTTTTATTTACTGCAATGAAGTTAATAGAATGTTTTGGCATCAGACATAGTAATTATATTCTAGGCAAATATAATATATAATTGTATTTAGAGATGGTTCTTATTGTATACACTAAAGAATCACTCGTGTTGTCTTGAATAGGAAAAGATACAACTGAAGGTGGCGTACTTGAGAGGACCTTTACCAGAGGGAGCTACCGGGAGAGTTTAAGGTAAGCTCAAGCCATGGGGCAGATTTTAAAGTTTTCAGATATTCTTAGGAGCCCTCTGCAGCTGTGATCCTTAGGCAACATCTCAGGTCCAACAAGGACAGTCTTATGTATACAGACTCCCAGGTCTTGTGCAGCATAAATGTGGAAATGAATCCTTGGTTGCTATATTGACACTGGTCTCCAATTCATGGTTTTCTGTTTGTTTCACTTTTGCTTCTCTTCTTATTGGGGGTAATGATGGAGATACTCTGTGATTAAAACATAGCTTATCAAGCTTAGAAAGGAGGTTTTAAAAAAATCTGTGTTTAGTTCCCACCCCCTCCCCAAGTTAACTGCAGTGTGAAACACTGTCTTATATGGAGGTCAGATTCATGCCTTTAACACCATTCTTTTTTTTTTTTCATGATAAAGAAGCACTTGTGGCTATGAGTATATTTAAAGCTACCCCAAATAGTGTCAACCATTCCTAAAATACTTTCTTCTTTTTTTATTTTTTTTTATTTTTTATTTTTTCGTTAAATTTTTATTTTGTCAATATACAATGTATATGATTATTATGGCCCATCACCGACACCTCCCTCCCTCCTCCCTCTCTCCCCTCCCCCCCAAGAATGTCCTTTCCGTTTGCTTGTTGTAACAACTTCATAAAAGTATAGTTGTTATATCTTCTTCCCCACCCCCCCCCGGTTTTTTTTGTGTGTGTGTATGTGGGTTTAACATCATTCTTTAACCTACTGAGCTGCAATTGAATTACAAACACTTCTGCTCCCAGAGTAATCCATCTGAAGTCAAGTCACTCCTTAACAGGATGAAATTTTAAAATGTAGTTTTTACAAAGAATTTTTCTAAACATGAGCTATTAATTTTTCTCTGGATTAATATATAGGTATTTTTTGATATTGCTAAATAGTGGGAACTTAAATTTTAGTCTTTCATCCTGGTTTAAGCATTTCAATTAAAAAGCTCCTCTAATGTCAAAAGTCTGTGTATTAAGAAGAATTCTGCCCAGTAGTAGTTGTCTAAATGTATGAAAATGTTATTCAAGATTTTTTTTCTTAAGTTAGGAGACTTAGTAGGTAATGAAATGACAGCAAGTTTTCTACATTACTCTTACTATTTCTAGGACATTTAACCCAGGTCTGTGCTCTGAGCAAAGACTCAGTCATAGGACTTGTTCACTCAAGATGGGAAATTGGTTATTGAAAAGTTGTTAAAGGGGCTTAAAATAAAACATTCAGAAAACAACTCCAAGTAGTTATTTGAAAATGTATCTATCTAGGCCTGAGTGCATCATCTCTTTATCAATCTAATTTTAAGACTTGGTTTTTAAATTTTTTTCTTGAGAGCAATTCTATTCAAAACATTTTAATAAATGCTAGTTTTATTGAATTTGGAAAATAATAACATAATAGGTTCAAGTTACTCTGTTAAGATAAAAACTGTAAACATTACCAAAATTATTTGGCAATATTTATAGACATCTGGCAGTATGTTTAATCATGCTTTTCTGATTGGGATACAAAATTAAGATCATAAGATTTGTTAGAATTATAAGCTAAAGATACCAACTAACGTATTAAACACAAAGAATGACTAGGTATCTCTTTTGGTCCCTAGGTTAAAGGTTGCGAAGTGGAGATGTATCTCGTAGTCATAATATACACAATAAATATTTTCTTAACTCTTAAAATTAACAAAATTCTATCCATTCTAAGTAGTTTACTTACAGTTTATTTTTAGGACCAGATAATCATTTTGAACATAAACATTTCTTATTTGGCAATATTTTCTTACAAATTCTACATTTTGGTGAGTAGGATGAGAAATCCAGAAATACATTCTACACACAGAAAGTATCTATTAACCTCCTGCTGAGACAGTTTATAAATCTGAGTAAGAAGGTCCACTAAAAATATCTCTTTGTATATGCTGACAGATTTTTTCTTTCTCTTTTTGCTAAAAGATGACTAAATGAAATGTTAATTTGTGTCTTGTTTCTTTGGCTTTGGTCTTTCTGATGGTTAAGTCCCCCTTAGGAATATATTTTAGGTTCAAGACAATTTAATGGATAATAGCAATTAATTTTCAAAATAATAATGTTGAGAAAGAGAATTTATTCCCCAAATCAGCTGGTTTTATTTGCAGTAAGAAGTGGTATACAGTTTCTGAGAAGGGAAGGGGCAGATGTTGTAGGTTTAGGTCCATGACTTTAAGTTCCCCTTGACATGCACCTTGCTTTTCCAGGTGACAAAAGTCTATTCTGCATACCTTCTGGAGAAGATATCCTACCTCCATTACCCAAACCAAAGAAATGACTATTGCTGTAGAGTTTCAGGCCAAGTGGGAGGGAATGGGGGTGTCCCAGAGGCCAGTTTGGTGCAGGGAGTGGGGATGAGGAGTGGTTTCATGCCTGGTCCTAATGAGACTTGGCAAAAGTTTGAATGTGCGAGAGCAGGGAAGAGGGAGGGTTTGAGGTAACTACATGGTGTCAAACCTGGTGATGAAGAGGATGGCAGTGCCATTAACAGAACATGGGGACAAATTAGAGTAATTTAATTGATATGTTACTGCCTTCTCAGGAAGGCTAGATGAGCACAAAGTAGGCAGGCACCACCTTGATATTTGTTTCAGTCTAATTTCACCTGGATACAAAATGATAGAGACATGTGATAAGTAAACTGTTCTAGACTAGTCTCCTCGTCTCTAACATCTCTCTCTTTACACCACATTGCTCCAGACTAAGCTTTCTAACACACAGCTTTGATAACGGAACCTCCTCCCAAGTCTCCAGCATAGCCTCTATCATTTAAGACCCTTTATTTGCAAACAACTGAAAATCTAACCCTCTGGTTTAACCTTTATTTATTTATTTATTTTGAATCACAATTGATTATACATATTTTGGGGGTTCAGTGTTGATGTATGTTGATCAAATCAATATTATTAGTATATACATCATTACAAATCGTACTTATTCTTTATGCCTATTATCCAGTCTCTCCTCATCCCTTTTCCCTCCCCCCTCCCACCTCTGATAACCCTAGATTTCTTCTCTCCTTCTGAAAGAGTAACAGTTGATTTGTTGCCTAGATGATCTGTCCAGTGCTGAGAGAGGTGTGTTCAGGTCCCCCACTATTATTGTAGAGTAGACGCTTCTTCTATAACTTTGGCTTTGTGGAGAGAGATATCTTCTTCTTTTTTTTGGTCTCCACTGGTAACTCTCCTTGTGTCAGTGCACTCAAGTGGCTGGTGGGCCATCTGCACAGTGGTTGTGGCATCTAGCTGTTTTTGCAGAAGCTGTGGCTATTGTGCTGGCTGTGGTGGGCTGCCCACATGGAAGTGCTGCTTTTGGTGTGCTCCTTGCATGGTTGCAGGAGGAGAGGTTGGTCCTTGTATCCATGCCTCAGCACACTGGGTGGCCACCATGGCAGTGGCAGTGTGCCTGGATGCAGGAGGAGGGCTTGGTCCCTGGCTACATGCCTCAGGACTCTAGGTGGGCCCCATGGCACTGGTGATGTGCCTGGTTGCAGGAGGAGGGGTCAGTCCGAAGCTCCATCTGTTTTTACATTCTAAGATGTTGTTGAGGAGCAGTTGAGTGGGAGGGGGAGAGGAGAAGGGGGAAGGAAATAGGGTGGGAGAAGGAGGAAGGATGGGGGGCATGATTGAGGCCTGTGATACTCCCCTCATTCTTGCAGGGGAGACCAAGGGGCTTCCAGTGGTGGTTTGGTTGTTGCTGGGCTGAATGCACATGTCACGGGTGTGCAGCTGAAGCTCCCAGCCCCCCACTGCCCTGACTCAGGAGCCCAAGGTGTTTCCTGAAGCAGCTTGGTGGTTGTCACTGGGCTGGTTACAGTTGTCAGGGGGGTGTGACCAAGGCCCTGGAGGAGGGCCTCCCCGCCACCTGGCTCGAGAGCCCAGGGGTGCTTCCTGTGGTGGCTTGGTGGTTGTTGCTGGGCTGGTTGTGGGTGTCAGGGGGCATGACCAAGGCCCCTGGCCCTCCCACCTCCCTGGCTTGGGGGCCCAGGGGGCTTCTGGTCCTTCTAGGTTTTATAGGTGTTCATTGGTGAAGTGAGTCCTTTACTAGTTAATATCAAACTTTGTCTCTGTTTTGTGGGTATTTTGTTTTTTCTCTCAGTTCTGTGTTGGATTATTCACTGTTTCCATTACTTAAACTCTGCACTGGAACTAATTTGTTGTCCTTTGCGTACTTTTAAGATGGGGGAACTTCCTGTGGAAACGAGCACTTGAGCTCTGTGGTTGAGCTAAACTGCTGCTTTGCTGCTTATTCCCTGGGGAAGGCTCTTTGTGGAGCTCAGGTTTAATGGCTAATTTTGTAGGTACTTCTGGGTCTTGTGAGATCTGGTACACCTGGGTTGTGTGGAAACTTTGGTCTGGACCAGAGTGTTTTCAGCAAACTGCTTCCCCTGCTGTTCTATATTCCTGACCAGTCTAGACAGAGTGGGCATATGCTAAATGGGAGGCAGATCAACTGTCCTTGCTGTGCCCCAGCGTTCCCCTTGTGGGCCCATCTCCCCCACTGCCTGTGCTCCAAACACTTACCATGGGACGGGCTGTGTGCCAGTCCCTTGCCATGACTCACCAGCCTCTGAGGGGCTCCTTTCTTCAGTTTTTGTGGCTCTCACTCCTATGTGGGTCCACGGAAACTCTGTTAGTGGTCTTGCTGTCCTGGAGCCACCAAGGCCCTCTTCCCTGCGACCTGCAAGCAATTTCATCGGAAGGGCACAGTGGCAGCTTTTGCCGGCTCTTGCTCTGTGTGCTCAGCAGCTCCAGCCTAGAAGTGGCCGGGGCTCGAAATGGTTGGAGAGGATTTTTCTTTTTCTCATTAATGTGGCTTCTCCCATCTTCATACACTACATAGGTCTCTCCTCTTCTACCCCTGAGCTCTAGCAGCCCCAGCTTGGCTATCATTGCTTTTTAATAGTTGTAAATTTGTTGGGCCAGCCTGTGGCTCACTCAGGAGAGTGTGGTGCTGATAACGCCAAGGCCACGGGCTTGGATCCTATATAGGGATGGCTGGCTGGCTTACTGGCTGAGCATGGTGCTGACAACACCAAGCCAAGGATTGAGATCCCCTTACCAGTCATCTTTAAGAAAAAAAAAGTTGTAAATTTGTTGATTTAGGGAGGGGAGTGACATTGGGGACCATCTATTCTGTCATCTTGACTCAAGCCCCTGGTTTAGCCTTTAAAGAGAAAGAATTGGTTTATGTAACTAAATATTCCAAAGCTGCTTCGGCTTCAGGTAAGGCTAGAGCTTCAACCATATGTCCTAGATAGACACAGTTTCTTTCTTCCTTTCTCAGTTCTACTTTTTCATTGTTGGCTTCATTTTTCAGGAAGCTTCTTTCCTTGAGGGTCTCAACATAATTGCAGCAACTCCCAGCACTATGTGCTTTCATGTTAACCTAGAAAAGAATGGGAGTCTCCTTCCCAAGAACCTCATGGGAGGGGTGTGGTGGTGGTGGTGGAGAGCCTGAACCAATCACTTCTATGCTTGTTACATACTAAGCATCTTTAACAAGCAACCCTGTTCTCTCCTGTCTCCAAGCTTCTGTTTATACTGTTCTCTCAATCAGAAATGCTCTTTCCTCTAGTCTACAAATATCCAAATCCTACCTTAGCCACCTCTTCCATGAAGACTTTCTTGGTAACACCTGCTATACTTTTTAAAAAAAATCTGAGTTTTCATCCTCTTTATTCAAACCTGCCTTTCAGAACTTACCACAGTCTTTCTTAGATCAGGGTTAGGTACATGAGGGAGAAGTCTGTGATTGACAAGTCTTCGTGTTCCCCACAGCACCTGGCATTGGTTTGCATGCTGTAGTCCCCAATAAGCCTCTGATGAATTAATAAATGAATAAATAAACACATTAAGCGAAATTATATTTCAACAAGAACTTTAATGCATCCCTAAGGGTAATATGTAGCCTGAAGAAAATCTTGCTAGGGGCGCTATTTCCTCCCATCATTTGTATCCAGGTAGCATCATGCTAAAGTAAACATCATGTGTAACAGAGACAGAGAGAGAGATCAAAACTACGGCCTAAACCAGAAGTGGGGTAAAGGTGATTGCCATGGTAGCCATTAGCAGAATCATGCAGGTTTAGAATGTTTTTGAGTCTTGGGCATTTTTTGGTGGACTGGTGGGACAACTTTGCCCCCTTTCTCTTTCTCCCTCTCTGGGTGTATTCTGAGTCTGGATCCAACAGTTACAAGAGTTTGGGGTCCAGGGCAATCAACCTGATTAGCTCTTCCCTGAGAATAGCTCTGTTGAACCTAAAATGCAAGCTCCCTTACTTGGTTGCCATGTGACCCACCAAACATTTCTGTTTATTTGACATATGTGATGTAAACTTGGACACCTTTTGGGCCCTGTTCCAATCTGCCCACAACCTACAGACTCTTTCATCTTTCTGTTTATTTACAGAGCTTCTATCCGGCAACGCTCCAAGTCTCAGCTTTCTTACCTGGTACATGAATCTCCATTAACTGTTGTAGATCACAGGTCTGCTTATGAAGAAGACAGAAAGGTCAGGCACCAATTGCTCATGGGGGAATGGAAAAAGTCTCTCCTGGGGACTGTTGAGAATATATGTTTTTAGGTGTATGTCTAGTAATGTTTCACTAAGTCAGATTAAACGGGGGAACATTAGGACCTGACGAAAACTCTAAATTTTACACAGTATTTTAAAAGAAATATGGATTGGCTAATTAATTACTTTTAAGAATACATGGTAACTAAAACTGAACTACTAAGCGTTACTTAATAGTTCTTAGACCAACCATTCTAACAAACATGGGGAATGTGTTTGCTATATGTACTTTGCAGATTATTTGCTTATATGTAGTTATCTTTTTAAGAAGTTTTAAAAAATACCCCAAAACAATTTTTTCTCAAATTTTAAAATTTCCTTTTTCAATTACAATAATCTTGGCAAAAATACCTTGATCAATAATGGTATTTGATAAGGCTATCCTTATACAAATTACCACAATTTTTAATTAACGGAAGCTGATTAGGTTTTATGGACATTTACTTACTTCACATAGTTTTATTATAATTGCTTTAAGATGTATTTAAAATAACACTATTAATTTTAACATAATTCAAAATAACATAAAAATTAAAGAGATAGGAGAAGAATCAACACATATAGCAATATAAAACTTTCTTTCTAAGGATGCAGGTGTCCAAAATTGTTGTGAACATTGTCACATAATACCTATCACATAAGGTGACCATCCGTCCTCTGCCAAGCCTTTCCTGGTCACTGCACTTCACTCTTCTGCCCTAATATTCTCACTTTCAATCCCCATAACCCTTAATTAGAACATTTTCATGGTAATTTTCTTAAAATTCAGTGACTGCATCAGATGGGTGTTTGAATTTACTTGGGTACCTAGTATCTAGTAGCACACTGGGAGATTTTAAAACTATAATGAAAAATGGAATGTCTACAATAAAATAAAGCTCAAACCACTAGATTTATCAAAGCAAATAGGGTGGAGAATATTTTAATTGCAAGCACATCCATTACTCACAATATAATTTCAAATTATCTTCATTAAATTCCAACATATGAATCCATTAAGAAGTAATTATAAACGTTGTTTCATAAGGGACAAATTTGGAATAAAGTACAGTTCTACTTATGACCTTATGACTATGATAGAAGGATTATTAAGGCTCTCTTTTGGTTTTAATGTATTCATATTGAATAAATAGAGGTCTCAAATCTAATAGAGTTGGTTTAAATAAATTTCATAGAAAACTTTTTCTCAGGAGCAGCAGGATGAATTACAGTGAGGGAAAACACACTTAGTAAGCACAGTTTCTTCCTGCGCCTTGCTGTTAAAGACTCAGTTTCTCCTCTAGTTCTAGAAATAGCTATTTCATTTATGTCTGTGGTACTGCCACGAATAACTACAAGATGCGTTATACAAGAATAGGAGTTTAATAGAGCTTCAGAGGAGAAAGATCCAAACACTACACTGAAATTTCGAACATAACAGTACCAATCATACTCAATTTTTGCATGTTTTTTTTTTTTCTAGTTTCTGGGTAAATGTTTGATGATAAAAGCAAGCAAGGGAAGAAGGAAGGAAGAGAGGGAGGGAAGGAGGAAAGGAAAAGCTAACTTCTCCCTTGTTGATGCTGTTGTTTAAACAGGTAGATGGCCTAGCGTTGTACAAAACCATGAGATTCCCTGGAGATCTGGAGATCAGATTCCCATAGAATTCTATTGATGCAGGAAAAACTCAGAAGGGAGCCATTTAAATAAAAGGAGATCTAAATCAAATATAGGGGTTAATTTTAGAGAGATTAAAATGTTCCATATTATATTCTACTCATTAGCATTATAAATTAAGATTAGAACAATTCAGCACAATTAAATGCAAACCAGTGTAATTTTAAAAAGATGCCACTTTACATTCTCTCTAGTTATGGGATATAAAGGAAGAAGAGAAAAAAATGACAGGGAGGACAATATGAGTTTGCAAAAGCTCCAAGAGGAAAAGATTGTGCATTAATACTTCTCGTTTGCATAATAATCATATTAGAGTTTTTTAGATTTAAATAATTAATTATTTTAAAAAATAGAATTTGGGTTAATAACATTTGATTTGTGGAATGTCTAATCCCAAGTAACACTGGATGAGTAAATGTTGCTCACCCAGTGTTACTTGGTAATTTTAAGTATTTTAACACTCAACTAAATTCTGCAAGTCCAAGCATTGGCAAAATCCTTTCTTTTTCTCATTTTGATGAAGGCCTAACCTTACCTTCCATAGATTGGGAAATTTTCCATCATATGTTGCTGAAGGTCGATTTACACAAAGGATTTATCTCCACCTTGTGGTCTCTTAGAGTATTGACTCTGAAAACTTCGATGGTTTCCTAAAAAGTCTATGCTTCTAAACTCCAAGTGGGGTTAACTCACCTAAAGTCTCACAGTTAGCTGGTGACAAAGCTAAGAATATAGCCCATTTTCCCTTGCATTCCAAGATGTACCCTTACTTCCTATAAATGGGATCAGATCTTATATATTGCTGATAAAATTGAGTTTGGGATTAGGGGAAACCTGTGGGCTAAAGGTTTCATTCAGTCTCTGATAGTTAGGCATCCTTTTAGTGAAACTAAAAAACAAGGCAGAATATATATAAGATCAAGTGAGTTTCAAATAGTAGACATCCATAACTTAATCATGGCTAACTTATAAGATAGGATTTAGGAATTGGTTAAGAGATAGGAAAGAGGGAGGACCCATAAAAATGACTATCAGTATTTGTTCATTTGGAAAATCTCTCCTCCTTTGTCATAGTTACTATTTCGTATCATTATTCTTAAAGTTTTTATCAAGGCAGGAGACCCTTATTGATTGGAACACAGAAACCAGGGTAACAAAGTATGGAAAGCAGGAGATAAAAGGAAATTATATTTTCCCCAGACTACACAAGGCAATGTAAGGAAGGAAACTGGGAAAAACCCAGTGTCAAGCACTGAACCATCTACACAGTAGGTAAACAATCAGTATTTTTTAATAAATGTTTTGTTGCATATATGCACAACAGCCATAAAAGCCTCATTCATTCTTTCATCCAATAAACACTAATTGCACACCTATTATGTGCCAGGTATTGTGTTGGGGATGCAAAGATGAACAAGAGCTCCTGTCACTGTCCTACTGTGGAAGTGCGGATGGGTACTTCTTTACATATGATTAAAGAAAACAAGCCTCATGTAACTTGAGGCAAGGACTCTGCAGTGAGGAAACACATATAAACTTTATAATTTTACCTGTCTATGAGTTATTGATATGCTGTTAATTTATTCACCTTCTCTTTATATTTAGTTTTGCAAAATCAGAGGAAAAATATTTCTTTACAAAATGACTTTATTTATATTTCATATAGTTTTATTCCTATAGAATTCTTTTAGCTATATCAAATAAAATTGAATCAAAAGTCCATTATTCAGGGGCAGATTTTCTGGTTTTTGCGTCATTCAGGCTTAACAGCTGCATTTTTGGGGGGAGTGTTAGGGGACAGTTTCTTTTAAAGTCAGACTTTTAGTGTAGGGGAACAAAAGAAAATTATTCAAGTTAATTAATTTTTGTTTCTTCTTAGTTTATCTTGGAATAAAAACTACTGGACAAAAATTACTTCATTGCTTTTAAATGTCTTGGGTATTGTTTAGGGTTAGGGATACCTTTGAGTATCAGAAGTTCAGGAAAATTTCCATCATGTCAGTCTGTGGGTGGACCACCCTGTGGGGCAGTGGTCCCAGGAAGTGCTGGAGTTTGGTGTCACTAGGGAGCAGGCATAATTCAGTGAGTGCTAACACTTCTTCACAAGTCCTGAAGTGTACGGTACAGCTGACTCATCAAAACATATAATTATGGAATCCTAGAGGACATTTAGTAGTGGGGGGGACTCTTTTAGATCATAAACTGTTAAGTGTCTCACAAACTGAGCTGTGGTTACCAGAATTACCTGAAAAGTATTTTTTTTAAAACAGAGATTCACACTTAGGGCTACTAAATTGGTCTGGTGATAAGACCCAAGAATCTGTATTTTTAATCATCAACCCACATGAGTTTGTGAGATCTGAACACTAACCACTGTGTAGAACTGTAAAGGGTCTGATATTTTGCTCTCTGTCCAGTTAGCCTGCCACAGTTTCATGGATGCTGGCAGAACACACAAGAGCCCTGAGTCAGAGACGAAAGAATTTATGACTCAAAGTAATAACGATTATAGTAGCCAGAGTTCAGCACCTGAACTGGTTCGCCAGCCCAACCCCCAATACCCACAGGTGATGCAAATGAGCTGGATGATATCAGCAAATGAAACAGGGTGTGTTATAGGAGAGGAATCCTGGCCTTGAGGAGCCTGACTTTTTTACAATGGGTAGAAGCACATCTGCCCTTTGCTTGGGATAACAGACACCATCTTCTGCCTTCCAAGGCTGTTTGCCATGCAAACATCCTTGAAAAAATAATCTGAACAAAGATAGTCAATGCCTCTGTTCACAAGATATGCAGAAATGTGAGAGACCCAGAGAGACTGTCTCTCCAGAACAACCTAGTCCAACTCTCTCACCCAGAGAGCTAAAGCGCTTGGTGATATATTCCACTGGTGGCCATGTGGGGCTTGTCCAAGAATCCCATTCTTTTTATGCCCGCTCCACTCATGCTTTCCCAGGCACCCTTCCTCCTCTCTGGCTTTGGTTGCCTAGAGTTAGGAAGCTGTCAGAGATGAAATAATTGAACAGAAGGATTTGCTGCATGAGTGAGCAGTAATTACAAAGTGCAAATGCTGAAGGCCAGCCAAGAGAGAACTTGCAAGGGAGGCAGCAATAAATTCCTCCGCAGCCTGAGCTGCCTTCCTGCATCCTTCTTGGCTTGCAACTGCAATGAAATGGACATGACACCGGGCTTTTATTTAAATCAAATTGGTAATGTGGTATTTGACTTTGTAAGCAAAGGGAAAGTATTCGGTGGTGGTTTTTTCGGGGGGGGGGGCACTTTTTAAAAAAATTGAAACATTATTGATTGTACATATCTGTAAGGTACAGCATGGAATATCAATACCTGTGTGCAATATGTGATGCTCTCAAATTAGAATAATTACTGTATTTATCATTACACAATGTATTCATTTTTGTGGCCCTTTACCAATTTCTCACTAACCCTTCCCCCTCTTTCTTTCCCTCCTCTGGTGGCCCTGATTCCATTCTCTAAAGGCAAAGTATTTGAAGATCCTTGCTATTGCCTGTATTCCTGCCATTCAGCTACCTAAAGGATAAATCGCCATGTTAATGAAAAAAAGCACTGATTAATAGTTTTGTAGTCAATTTACTATAGATATTTTTAGTATATTTTAACAGAAAAAGTGAAAAAATCAATACAAATCTATATAAGCCACCTAAAATCTTCTCTCAAAGTGGGTAATAAATTTAACAAATTATTAAATAAATGGACCTGAAGACCAAGCACTAGTAATACCTATAGCAAGGAAAAAAGGCAAAAACAATGACATTCTGTGTACAATGTCCGCCTTCAAGAGGATAAAAATTTGCTAGCTCTGACACTTTAATGGCAACTAAAGAGATCAGAGCAGGAAAATACTAATTTTCACTCCTTATGAGAAAAATGTACAAATCCAAACGGTGTACCACTTACTTCTGGGTGCAAATTAAGGAAAACCTTACTGAAAAAATGTAAATAATAACTGTTGACACCATTTAATAAATTTTTAAAATTGTTTTGATTTGTTTCAGATATTCTGGTCTGCCTTAGAGTTTTAGCCAGTTACTGCAACATAGAACCTTGACATTTATGAAAAACATATCTTGAACATTTCACAAGCCTCTCATGTGTAAATACAGCTATAAGCATAGTTTTTTAAAAATTGGAAGTTATTTTTCTCAAAGACCTAACATAGTTTTGCTTCCTGAGGGTTAATACGTATGTGATTGTGGAATGAGCACTACAGACTCTCCTTTGGACGAGTAGTCCTCTAAGTCAGTCCCATCAAAGCCACCACACGGTCTCAAGAAATTCAAAACCATTCCTCAAAGAATAACCACCACCGCATCTCATAGATCCTTGAGGTTACTCATAACCAAACTATGACTTTTAAATCTGTGAATGCCAAAAGGTCTGCTGTATAATAAAAGAGTATATGCAAAATGTCTGTGTGTACATTTGGATGATTAATGTAACCCTCTCTCCCTTCAAGGACAAGGACATTCCTGTGGAAGAAGAGGTTGAACCTGCCCCAGTTAGGAGGATTCTGAAGTTCAACACTCCGGAATGGCCCTACATGATGGCAGGGACTGTGGGTGCAGCCATTAATGGGACAGTCACACCCCTCTTTGCCTTTTTATTCAGCCAGATGCTTGGGGTAAGCAAGCAGCTGGACTAACTGTTTTCTCCTCTTAACTTTGGTTTTCCCATCCATGGCTATTATCATTTTTGATAGGTCGGAGCTTTGTTTTAATGTATTCAGTTCTTTTTTGTTAGCTCTTTTTTTTTGCAGCTCTAAGGATGAAAAATTCCTCAGTGTGGGTCTCCATCACACAGAAGATAAGAAGGTGAAGCTGACCGTGCTCATTTGGGCTGGCAGGGCACTCACACAATTGTGCCTGTAAAAAAAAATGGTATTATCACTGCCAATTTAGTGTTAGAAGAGGGCAGTTTACTTAAATGCAAACCAAATCAGAAGGCAAAGCTGGTTCATTGAATAATACAAAAGGACTTTAGGGCAATTTTGATCTTGTGAACAGCAGAGATAAAGAGTTTGACATGTAGTAGCAAGTGTTAATATGTGATGTATAATTCTCTGATCTACTGATCACACCATAGAAATGACAAGGTGGAGAGGAAGTGGGAAAATGAAGAGAGAAGTAAAATCAGGTGTGGATGAAGAATAAGCCTATTTCAGTTTTTCATTTCCTAGAAGTTTTGATATTCTCCATCTGACTTTATTGTTATAGTAATAACAACTACAAGCATTTATTAGGCGTTTTCTAAGCACTTTATGTATAGTAGTTCAAGTTTCCTAATAGCCATCTGAGGCAGGTAGTCTTATTACTACCATTTTACAAAGGAGCAAACTGAGGCACAGAGAGTTTAGGATGGCAAATGCCAGAGCTGGGATTCAAATCCAGTCAGTGCGACCATAGAGCCAGGTTCTAATAAAACCTTATCATTGCAAAAATAGTTATCAAAACGCGATCCTGTTTTCTTAGTTGAAATTCACACATACACACACACGAATCCTGTGAGGCCCATGAAGATGGAAACCTGGAACCCAGAGAACTTTATTAACTTGTTCAAGATGACATAGCCATTAGCTGAGGGGCCAGGACTAGACCCAGATTTTCTGGAGCCAGCACACCACATTGTCAGAGCTTAGTAAATGATAAAAGCTTATGTTTTAGTTCCCTCTTCTCCTGTCACCTCTCTGATAGATGTCCTGACCATAAAGATGTCCCCATAGGCAGGAGTTGTATAGAAAGACCTGGATAACCCACAGACAAAATCAAGTCCAATGTGTAGGTAGGGCCCCAGCCACCAGTTTAATTTCCACACTGCCTTTTGTGGTAAGTGAGGAAATCATATTAATTGCAAAGACATAGGAAATTGGAAACAGGGAGACCAGCTTTGGCTAACTGAATTTCTGGATATGTGGTGCCATAATCCTTTATGCTGAAAATATTTTAGATAGATACTTTATGTTCCTTAATTTTCTAATAAATAGAATATTGAAATATAAAAGAAATGTTTTCTTATTCGATCAACAGATATTTATTGATTGTCTCCCCTAGACACAGTGCTGGGGACTGGGGAATGCCATGTCAGTTATGGTGTCTTCCTCGGTGGAGTTTCTAGTCCATGAGAAGACAAACATTAAACAGAAAAAGCCACTTGTCATTCAACAAATATTTATTGATCACAATTTGTTTGCCAGGAATTGTCACTGGTTTGGGGACAGAATGAAGGTACAAGAAGCAGCTCCCTGCTCAGATGAAGCTGCCTTTCTAGTGGGGAAAGACTAAAAATGCACCTCGCTGCGCAATGATGTAGCTGTAGAAGGTATAGGGGCTAGGGCTGCATCTGAAAAGATCCAATCCTATGTCCTGGATGTTTGCTTTTTAAAAGAAATCCACAACGTCAGCATTTTTGCTGATCATCTCTTATAAAAGCAAAGTAAGGCAGGGCCGGCCCGGTGGCGCACTGGAAAGTGTGCCACTTGGGAGCGCGGTGGCGCTCCCGCCGAGGGTTCGGATCCCATGTGGAGACCAGTTCCCGCTCACTGGTTGAGCGTGGTGCGGGCGCAACACTGAGGGTTGCGATCCTGTTGCCGGTCCCTGGTATGGGCACGACACCGAGGGTTGTGATCCTGTTACTGGTCAGTAAAAAAGACAAAAAGGAAAAAAAAAAAAAAAAAAAAAAAGCAAAGTAAGGCATATCCTCACCCAACTTCACCCAAATTGTGTATCTGAGCTGCTTTGGAAAGAGTCCTGAATTGCCTGTCGGGAGGCCTTTTTTCTGAGACTGCGCTAGTTAGTTACCATGTACTCTGTGCCCTGGGAACACATCATACCACTTCTCTGGGCCTCCATTTCCTCAAGTATAAAATGAAGGATTGACAATGATCATCTCTAAGATAGCTTCCAGCTCTAGTGGTCTATGAAATGGTCAAGTCAGAAAAAAAAGACAATTCAACTCTAACTCCCACCTTCCTTGAGCACTCACTTGATCATTAGTGGTGAGAATATTCTCTGTGGTTCTTCTGGTCACAACCGGAAATCTTGGGATGTACTCAGACTGAGCAATTGAGCTTTCTACTTAAGGGCTGCAGGACCAGAGTAGCAGGATCTCGATGAAATTCAAGGTTGGTTCGTCGCTAACGTTCTCGCAGCATTAATGTTCTGACATACCTAAAGGGCATAGTATTCATATTTGGAGCACTGAGACCACAACATGGGACATGGACCCAGCAAATGAGTGGGCATTATTAGCAGCCTGCTTGCTAATCTAGCTAAGCTTCAGCATACACATAAAGCATAATCTATCTGCTTCACCTTCCCTGGGTCTGTTTGATTTGGAAAATGTGCCAAGTGGTTCCAAGCACAGCAATTTGGATGTAACATGCTGGGAGAAGGCATGGGCCTGGGAGTCAGCCAGCCCGGATTTGTAGGAGGTCTCTGCTCTGTCCTCTCTGTGTGCATTTGGGCAAGTGACTTATCCTTGATGAGACTTAGTTTCCTTATCTGAAGGGAGAATGAGGCAAGAAAACCTATCTCACTAGATTGTTCTGAGAATCCTAATTTAAGGAAATCCGAATTTAAGTTAAAATAGGGTAATCCATATATCTGACATCTGGCACACAGCACAAGTTTAATGAATGATAGTTTTCTCCTTAACTAAACTTACCATTATAAAAATGACAAAGATGTGTGCCCAAGGTACAGCTTGTCAAAGAAGAGAGGTATCTATGGATAGGTAGCCCTTTGTGTTGCATTTCAACAATAAGAATGTACAAAGAACTCATGGAGCAGAATTTTTTCACAGAGTGAAAAAAGATTATAGATACCCAGTTTCGAACTAGACAGTTGTGTGGATTTTAACCTTAGCCAAATTCTCTCTCTTTTTTTTTTTTTTTAGCACTGAGAAGGTAGGTAATACCAAGAGCCAGAAGAATATTTCCAGAAGAAACCAGTGCCCTGGAAGCTGAGAATAGGCATTTCCTCATCCAATAATAACCACTAGCTAAATGAACTTGGGCAAACAACTTGCTGTTTTGGGCTTTAGTTTTCCATCTGTGAAATGAGAGGCAGTCTGTGGTTCAGTAGTCCATGGTTAATTTAGTAGGAGACCTTAGGGAAAAATGGAAATTGTGGCATCATGATTTGGAGATATTTGTTTAATGATTATAAAAACCAAAGTGAAATGTATCTTTAAATTCCTGAATTTGTAAATTCTGTAAACTTGTGAGCTGTGCTATGATGGGAAATTTTTCTTTTTCTCCTGATCCAGTTCCAGTCAATGCCTTGATAGCTAGTTGCTTTTTAATGACATGTATTCTATAAAACTGATTACAGTCAATGTACCTGAGTGTGAAAATCGTCTTTCTTGCATCTATTGTTTGAGAAAGTAGAGGTGAAAATAATACTTTGAGTTTTGTCCCAGATAACATTATCAGATTCCTAAGAATCTATCCTTCTTTCCTCCTTCCTTCCTTCCTTCCTTCCTTCCTTCCTTCCTTCCTTCCTTCCTTTCTTCCTTCTCCCCTTCCCTACCTCCCTTTCTTCTTTCTTCCTTTGTCTTATCACCTGAAGAATTTGAGTCATTTCATCATCTTTTTAATCTGTTTCAAAAAAAAAAAATCCAATACAATGACCCAAATCGGGCAAAGAAACAAGACAAAAATAAGTAGTCACCATTGGTTTTCATTCACAGGCTCCCTGCCCCACAGAGGATTAAAGTCCATCATCGTTATGTCCATAGCTAATTTTGGTTTAATTACTAGTATGTTTAAGTGAAACCATTTTTAAAAGATTTTATTTTTCAGAGCAGTTTTAGGTTCAGAGCAAAATTAAGAGGAAGGCACAGAGATTTCCCATATCCCCCCTGCGCTCACATATGCATAACCCCCTCTGTGATCAACACCCCACCAGAGTGGTGCATTTGTGACAGTGCATGAACCTACGTTGACACATCATATTCACCCAAAGTCCATAGTTTACATTACGGTTCATTCTTGGTGTTGTATGTTCTATGGATTTGGACAAATGTAACAGATGTATAATGTCATGTTAAGAGAAATTTAAACATTTGAATTTATTTTTGCTATAGTTTATAGTAATAATGTTTCTTCCTTGCTTACTGTCTTTTAAAGACTTTTTCAGTTCCGGATAAAGAGGAGCAAAGGTCACAGATCGATGGTGTGTGCCTACTTTTTGTAGCAGTAGGCTGTGTATCCATTTTCACCCAATATCTGCAGGTAAAGAATTTTACCTTTCAGTAAATGATTTAACTATTTCTCCCCTTTCCGCATTAAAATATCACTTAAGACTCCTTCTTTATGTTTTAGGGATACTCTTTTGCTAAGTCTGGGGAACTTCTCACCAAAAGGCTACGTAAATTTGGTTTCAGGGCAATGTTAGGGCAAGACATTGGCTGGTTTGATGACCTCAGAAATAGCCCTGGAGCACTGACAACAAGGCTTGCGACGGACGCTTCCCAAGTTCGAGGGGTAAGCTATGGGGGGAAAGCAGGAGTGTATTAACTGGTGTAGACATTCTTTCTATAGACCAATCTGATGGTCACCCATGTTGTTTCCTGTGAAATACTAACTAGTGGGATTGGGATACCCCCGAGCTACATTTTCCACCATTTCTGATGCTGACAAACAGCAGCTAAAGCACAGTGTCTCCTAGGCAGTGCCTAGAATTAGTGTTATGACACACATCAAAATCTGTCGGGGTTTTGGATTTCCTCCGGGTTTAGCAACTGAAAAGACTCCCCTTAGACTCGTTTTTCAGGCCCAGAGGCTCAGATTCAAAAGACTTGATAGTGTCCCCTGGAAGGTAGAAGCAAAGGGTGTGCAAAAGTCTCACACAGGCACCCAGGGTATGGTTAGCCTAGAAACAGAGAAGCTATCCTGAGCAGCCTCTGTTAGCCCAGTCAGGAAACTGAGGAAAGAAGTAAGTGGTTGCTGTCTACAATCTTGAAGCCTTTAACGATTTGTCTTTCTGACTAAGGGAGACAAAGCTGTGGATTATAAACCCCAGAACCTGCAGCCTTGATCAAGGGACTTACACACGTGTATAAGATGAGACTGTACCTTTATAAAAACAGGCATTTGGATTAAAGTGAAGAAAGCCAAATTTGCCTCTCAACACTTCTACCCTCTTTCTATGAGAATTAAAGAGAGAGAGAGAGAGAGAGAGAGAGAGAGAGAGAGAGAGAGAGAATAAAAAGAAAAGAAAGTTCAATTTTAAAACGTAATGGTGGTTTGTGAGGCTCTTGGACAGAAAAAACCTCACTAGATTGATAGTGCTGCACTGTAGTGTACCTCAACTCCTAGCCAGTTCAACCAAAAATATCAAAAATGATATGGGAGAATTTCAATAGAACATGGAATCCTCTTAGAGGAAAATCCCCATAAATATTTCACTTTTGATCCTTCTAGGTTTTTCTGTGCGTACGTGTGTTTTTTGCAGACTTAGAGTCACACGCTACATAATGTGTTGCAGTCTTTCTTTTTTTCCCCTAAAAAAATCTGATGGGAGCGTATTTTCAACATTATATATTCTTCTATGACAGACTTTTTTTTTTTTTTTTTTTTGTCCTTTTTGAGACCGGCCGCACCGCGCTCAACCAGTGAGTGCTGTGGGCGCACCGGTCATCCCTATATAGGATCCGAACCCCCAGCAGGAGCGCTGCTGCACTCCCAGCGCCGCACTCTCCCGAGTGCGCCGCGGGCTCAGCCCTATGATAGACTTTTAATGTCTGCATAATACATCGTTTTAATGTACTATAATTTTTTAAGAATTCCCTATTTAGGTTTTGTCCTTTTTTTCCTCCTTAGAAACAATTTGTATCATTTACATCAAGCTGGCCACATTCTTGATTATTGTGTTCTCAAAATGTACTCACTGAGTCAAAGCGTATAATCATACACTATGAAGGATTTTGACATGCGTTGTCTGACCGCTTAAAGAAAGTTTGTACCAATTTCACTGTCATCATCTGAGTATTGTAGTGTTTAATCCCCTTACTCTTGAACTTGGAATAAGTAAATAAGTCATAATCTTATCTCTTCTATTTTTGTGTCCTTCAATCTGAAAGTAGCTTTTAAAGGTTATTTACTATCACTAGAATTCAGAGTAGTATCTAATCATCTTATAAAAATTTAACGTATCCTTAAAAATGGGGGTTTTCTATAAGTTTTCTAATAGTTTTGTTGTTTTTAAAAAAATAAAATTGCTAACCCAGGTCAAATTTATCTTAATATTGGTGTGAGGTAGAAGTTTGGCTTTGTTTTCTTCAAGTTGGATAGAAAAATATTCCAAAAATTTCTGTTAAATATAGATTCCATTTTCCATTCATTTGAAATCCTCCCTCCCATTGTGAATATCAACTTCCCGTATATACTTGGAACTATTTGGGGATTATCTCTTCTCTTTGACTGATCAACTTGACTTATTCTTTGCCAAGACCTTACTGTTTTAATTATTGTAACATAAATTTTTAACATCTGGTAAGGCAGATCCCTGCACACTAATTTTTCCCCTTCAAAATGCTCTTATCTATTCCTGAACATTAATTATTCTAATATGCTTTAAAGTCATTTTGACTTCTTCAAAAAGTTTATTTTGATTCTGATTGAACACACACTCAGAAGTGTTGGTATTGTGGGGATACTACATCTTCCTGAGAGACAATATAAATAAGACTCTTTAGTTTTTAGCATGACTTCTAGCTATATTAATATGTCCCTCTATCCCATACATTTTTCCTTATATATTTTTCCCACCATTTTGAATGAGATGTTTTGCTCAGTTATATTTTTAAACGAATGTTGTAGGTTGAGAAGAAATCTATTGGTTTTTGGATATTTATCTTAAAAGCCTTTTCAAATTCTCTTATTAATGATCATTTTAAAAATTGAATATAGTGTCTTGGGTTTTCGAGGTATATAATCAAATTATATGCAAAGAAAGGTAATTTTATCTCTTCTTATTCAATCTTTATGCCAATTATTTTATTTCCTTGTCATATTTTATTAGCTAGAACTTCCAAACACTATTGCATAAAAGTGGCAGTGGAGTAGAGGAGGATCTTTCAAGCAGTACAAAAACCCAAGAGACTGCAAAGTAGACTTAAAAACTTAAAACTTTTTTTTTTTTTTTTTTTTGTCTTTTTGTCTTTTTTCTGTGTCCGGCAACGGATCGCAACCCTCAGTGTTGCCCCCGTACCGGACCGGGGACCGGCGACGGGATCGCAAGCCTCGGCGTTGCTCCCGCGCCTCGCTCAGCCAGTGAGCGGGAGCCGGTCTGTACGTGGGATCCGAACCCTCGGACGGGAGCGCTGCCGCGCTTCCCAAGCGGCGCACTATCCAGTGTGCCACCAGGCCGGCCCCAAACTTAAAACTTTTGTATAAACAAATGATAGACTAGAAAAACATTCATAATAAGGATTAATGTTCCTAATAACCCTAATATGTGCAGTGCTCCTAAAACTATCATGAATGACGACTTCCTGTATTCATGAGGATGAGGAGTAACTGACTCTCAATGTAAGAATTCTTTCAACATTTTCTGGAGAGTAACAGTAAATAATAGTAGGCAATTTTTTGACAGTAATAGTAAACAACGATATCTCAAAGAAAAACTGCATAGCTGCTTTTCAAGTACTCTATGACGCCTGACAGTCCTTAAAAAAACCAGAAATTGTTTTTTTAAATTGTATACCCTTTGACCAGAATTCACATGAATATATTGTCTCCTGTTGTGTAAGAATGTGTGTCCAAGGATATTTACCATTTTCATATTGACTAAATAAATAAATAAATCCCCTGGAAACTACGTAAATGTCCATCAATACAAAAATAGTTGAATGAATTATGACACATTCGTACTAAGGAATATTACACAGCTGTTTTTAAAGTATTCATCTGGAAGGATGGTTATGTTAAATTGATAAGTGAAAAAAATCAAAGTTAAAAGTAAGATGTAGAGTATGATCCCTTTTGTGAAAAAATACCAAAATATATGTGTATATTGTTATATATATTTATTTATGGCAGCCTGCATTAAAAAAATTTTTTTTGAAATATTAATTGAATGAAATATAAAAGAAAACAAAATAATAATAACCCAGAGAAAAGCTGCATGGTTGCTTTTTAAGTACTCTGTAATGCCTGACTGTTCTTACCAACCAGAAACTTTTTTTTTTAATTGAGGTACAATATATATAATATAAAACTTACTATTTTAACCATTCTTAAGTTTACAAATCAGCAATGTTAAGTACATTTACATTGTTAAGCAACCATCACCACTATCCATTTCCAGAACTTTTTCATCATCCCAAGCAGAAACTGTACCCACTAAACAGACATTCCACATCTTGCTCTCTCTCCCTGCAGCCCCTGGCAACCACCATCCTATGAATTTGACTACTCTAGGTACCTCATCTAAGTGGAATCATATGATATTTGTCCTTTTGTGTCTGGATTATTTCACTTAACATAATGTTGCAAGGTTCATCTTTGTTGTAGCATATATCAGAACTACATTCTTTTTTTATGGCTGAATAATATTCATTTTATATATATATATATATATATCATATTTTGTTTATCCATTCATCTGTTGGTAGACATTCAAATTGTTTCCATCTTTCGGGTACTATGAATAATGCTGCTATCAACATGGGTGTACAAATTAGAAATTCTTAATTTAAACTTTTAGTTTCTGGGCCGGCCTGGTGGCGCACTGCTACAGTGCGCCACTTGGGAGTGTTGCGGCGCTTGGGAGTGCGGCGGCGCTCCCGCTGAGGGTTCGGATCCCACATACAGACCGGCCGCTCACTGGCTGAGCGGGATGTGGGCGCGACACTGAGGGTTGCGATCCCGTTGCCGGTCCCGGTCCAGTACGGGCGCGACACTGAGGGTTGCGATCCGTTGCCGGTCACGAAAAAAGACAAAAAAGAAAAAATAAATAAATATATAAACTTTTAGTTTCCAAGGGAGTTAGTATCAACACATGGGAATGCTTTGGAGTTTTCATTTGTGTCTTCAATATAGATCTTTATCTCAATAAAGAAGCCAATTGTTCTTATATAACACTGCCTTAGCACCTAATGGTTCCTAACAACTTACCTTTAGTTGTTTTACATTTTTTGTTTTAAATAATGCTGAGTCAACAATTTTAACAAGAAATCATGTAGTTGTACCCACCCAAGTGTTGTCTATACAGAGTTCACCAACCTTTAGTCACTTCTGCCTAGCTGCAACAGAAACAAAGACTTGGAACTATCAAATACTTCTAATTAGTATAGATAATAATTACCACCTGGTCCAATATCCACCTGTATGGGGACTGAATCCATTTTTGTCCATTTGCATTGATGAAACAGCTGTATTAAGGCAGTGTGTGACTCTGTACCAATGAACAGGCTAAGTTTAATGAGAATCAAAGTAGTATTTTATAAACATTGTGTATCAACTTAAAAAATATAATTACAGAAAAAGCATTAATCTTCACTGAATAGTCAGCGATATTACCACAAGCCCAGTGCCTAGGTATTTTCAAACACCAAATGCATATGTATCGGAGATATGTAGCCAGCCCATGGTTAGGGCTGCATTAATCTCTGACATTCATAAAATGAGATTAGTCAACAGATGAGCTTCTGAGAAGCTGTGAATAAAGTGGGCTTTTATTAACCCAGCCTTCAAATTCATTAGAGGAGTTCATCATTTAAAAGAACCTATCTTTTAAAACAAAAAACTACCGTATGACCCAGCAATTACACTCCTAGGTCTGTGTCTAAAAGAATTGAAAGCAGAGACTGGAATAGATATCTATACATCAATATTCATGGCAGCATTACTCACGATAGCCAAAAGGTAATACTGGGCCGGCCCGGTGGCGCACTGGAGAGTGCGCTGCTTGGGAGCGCGGCGGCGCTCCCGCCGAGGGTTCGGATCCCATGTGGAGACCGGTTCCCTCTCACTGGCTGAGCGTGGTGTGGGTGCAACACCACCGAGGGTTGCGATCCTGTTGCCGGTCAGTAAAAAAAGACAAAAAGGAAAAAAAAAAAAAAGGTAATACTACCCAAGTATCCATCAGTGGGTGAAGAAATAAACAAAATGGCATATATGTACAATGGAATATATTCAGTCTTTAAAAGGAATGAAATTCTGATATATACTACAATGTAGATGAACCTGGAAAATGATATGCTTAGTGAAAAAAGCCAGACATGGGACAGATATTGTATGATTTTACTTACATGAGGTACCTAGAATAGGCAAATTCATACAGACAGAGAATAGAATGAAAGTCGCCAGGGCCTATGGGGTGGGAAGGAGGGGAGGGTACAGAGTTTTTGTTGAGGATGATGAAAAAGTTTTGGGTATATATGTGGTGATGATTACACGACATTGTGAATGTCTTTAATACCACTGAATTAGCCATTTACAAATGGCTAAAATAATAAATATTATGTAATATCCTTTTTGGTATAAAACAGCCTTTTCACATAATGGTGTTTGGTAAAAGAGACTGTGTGTCTGAGATTGGTTGATTGCTTTTGGTTTGCAGGCTGCTGGCTCTCAAATTGGGATGATGGTCAGTTCCCTCACTAACATCACTGTGGCCATGATCATTGCCTTCTACTTCAGCTGGAAGCTGAGCCTGGTCATAGTGTGCTTCTCCCCCTTCTTGGCTTTATCAGGAGCCATACAGACCAGAATGTTGACGGGATTTGCCTCGCAAGACAAGCGGGCTATGGAGACAGTGGGACAGGTAATCTTAAAGACCTAATTTTCAGAATGCTTGTGTCTGAGAGGCTATCAGACAAACTGTTAAAACTGGACAGTGCAAAGAGAACTAAGGACACTGTTAGCCCGTAGACATTCACAGAAACCTCCCACTAGCCCTTTTCATAGGAGCCTCCACAAGGAAATCTGATGCTATGAGTTTGAGCCGGCGTGGAGACACAGTGGGGTAAACACAGAGGGTACATGTTCAAGTTCCTCTCAAATAGTTATTTGTTCCACATCAGTGTGTTCTCACTTGCAGGTGAGGATAGTTCCGTTTTCTGTCTGTTAGGTTTTTTCAGCTTAATGGTTTTCCGGAATCACGGTGTCCACAAAAAGAAGAGCTATTATCTTTTTAATGGTGCACATTTTTAATTTTCACACTTTAGTGTGTTCTAGGCTTGTGACAAATGTCTTTCCCAAATAGAATTATGAGCTGCAGTTTAAGTTACACATACACTTAGGTTTTAGCTACACATTTTTAAAAGTGTGTTCCAATTAACATCTGGTCAGCAGGGATAAAAGAAGGGGTGGTGGCACAGACTTTTACCTGGTATAAGAAATCACATACACACATGCACACCCTCACTCTCTAACAAATTCACTACAATCTAGGCTTTGTCTCTTTTGAGAGAGGGAATGTGAGTACTACCCAAGTCTTCAGAAGCCAAAAGACTTCATATGCCGATGGTAGGAAGTAGTCCTTCTTTGTGCCTTTTTTTAGTGTAGAGCCCTAATTCAGAAATAGTGATGATTTACTCTAGGTTGTGAATTAAAACAAACAAAAAAAACCATCATAAAGTCTAAAAGATAAACTCTATACTTAATTTTAAGTTAAATAATACTTGGTCAAATTGATTTTTTTTTGGAAAATAGAATCTAATATTTTAAATGTATATTAATTCAATGATCTTTTGTTTCAGAAGACATCTAAAATGACCATTTTATACATTTCAAATGAATTAGCAAATAAGCTAAGAAGCTTTCAGGGATAACCACGTATACCTATTTTCTTTTCCTTCTCTCTTCTACCGCAAGTGGAGGCAACAAAACCACATCAGAATTAAGTGGTGCTTGAGTTTACCTGACCAATTATCATGGTCCAGTTGGGTATCAGATCTTCAGGGTTCCCAGATGATGCCCCTGTCTCTCATGTGTATCACGTTCTGCCATTTGCACCAGATCTAATCCATGCAGCAGTTGAAGAGTTATTTCTGTCTTTCTGTTCCTAAGACTCTTTTTCATTCTTCAGATTACAAATGAAGCCCTCAGTAATATCCGCACTGTTGCTGGAATTGGAAAGGAGAGGTATTTTATAGAAGCATTTGAGACTGAGCTGGAGAAGCCATTCAAGACAGCCATTCGAAAAGCGAATATTTACGGATTCTGCTTTGGCTTCTCCCAAAGCATAACATTTATTGCTAATTCTGCTTCCTACAGATATGGAGGCTACTTAATCCCCAATGAGGGGCTCCATTTCAGCCATGTGCTCAGGTGAGGAATACCTGGCAAAGCTCATAAAAGATTAACACTCTGGGAGGGCTAGCCGGTTCTTTCAGTTAGCTATTTTGCTACTTAACAATCCATCCCAAACTTGGAGTAATAAAACATCTGGGATTTTATTATTTCTCAAGATTCTGTGGGTTGTCTGGGTGGTTCTTCTGCCCTGGGCTGACTCAGCCAGGCTTCTGAGTATACTTCTGTCTGCTCATGGCCTCTCTAGCAGCTGAGCTGCTTCTCCTCACGTTATAGTTTCAGAGTTCCAAGTGCAACAGGAGAGGACAAGCCCGAATGTGCAGACACTTTTCCAGTGTCTTCATGCTGTACACTTTCTAATGTCTGTTTGGCCAAAATAGGCCATACAACCAAGTCCAGATTTAATGAGCAGAGAAATGGAATCTACCTTTTGATGAGAAGAGTAAAAAAGTCAGATTGCAAAGGATGTATGATAGGATGAATTAATACGATCATTTTTACCATCTACCACACTCGTAAATGCTGAGAAATCTGGAGGTGTTGAATAAGATGGTTCATATATCCGTCATATCTGAACTCTACTCCTCTCTTGCAAAGAGGGCATGTTTCCAGCTGACTACTCCTACGGAGAGACAGCAGAGGCTGTACAAACAAAATTAGGTTCCTTTCTTATAACCAGAGCCTACTTTACAAATAAAATTAGCTTCGAGTCCATATTCTCACATTTCCAGAGGTGGGAGCCTAAAGGTGTCAAGGGTACATGGACACGTATATATGTGGGTGTGGTGGGGAGTGGTGATGGGGAAGACGTCCTGAGAAAGCCTTGACAGCATTAGGAAAATTGATCCCAGTAGGAATTTGTTCTTTTGGCTTCATTGTCTAGTCATGAGTTCTCCCTTCTCACCTAATAACTTTCTTCCAGCACTTTTCCCCTGCCCTACTACACCCACCCCAACAGAGAAAGTCTCTTTTCTAAATCTTTGCATATTTAAAGCTACTAACCCAAATCACAAAACACAAACTGTTGACTTGGTTTTGTTTAGTTTATATAAGGTTTTAAAAGAATTTTTTGCCAATGTGCAAAAATTGGGAAACTACAGAAAACTCTCATTTTCTGCCTTTGCTTTAAAAGCTGGAAGATCATCTTCCACCATCTTCCATTTTATTTAAGTGCTTTTCATTCCATTAAGCTTTGGACTGAGCTCCTGAAGATGTTTGGATTTGCAACTCTGGCCTAAAACAAGTCCTACTTATAAACTGAGCAATATGACCCACAAGGATATGCCCTCTGCCCCGCCAGGCAGGCTCCCTGTGCGTGGTGGAGCAGGTGGACAACTATGGGGGCTGCCCCTCACATCATAGTCTATACAGCAACAGAGCTATCTTTCACCATGTTTATCATTTGTTTATTCATTCACTCATTTGTTCACTAATTAAGCACATGTTGAATATAGTTAGAGGCTGAGACAAGTAGGATACAGGCAATTGCATCTTTTTCTGGCTGTCCGAAGCATGAATTATATACACGCTTGGCACAGAATTGATGTTTACATCACCAATCATTATCTTATACACACCTATCATTGATTCAAAGAATGTTGGAATTGTAAGATCAACCCAATCTTGTGTTCTTGCAGGTTTCCCTTCTTTATTTATTTTCAGACATCTTTTTTTTTTTCTCAAAAAAATGTAAAAATTAAGAAAGAGGCTATTGTAGTTGAATCAAAATTGGGGGTCTGAGTCTCCCCTTGTTCATGAAACACAATTTGAAAACTGCAAATCTCTCTATCCCCCACCTTCCCAGACAAGTCTGAAGTGACTTGCTCAAGGGACTCGGTCCTTTCCTAGCAGAACCAGAGCTAGACCTCCAAATTCCTGCCTCATAGGCCATCACACCAACTGCACTCCCCCATCTACCTGGGTTTCTTTCTGATTGCAGGGTGGTCTCTTCAGTTGTACTGAGTGCAACAGCTCTTGGAAGAGCCTTCTCTTACACCCCAAATTATGCCAAAGCTAAAATATCAGCTGCACGCTTTTTTCAACTGCTGGACCGACGACCCCCAATCAATGTATACAGTAGTGCAGGTGAAAAGTGGGTAAGTACTGGTTGTGGGGATGGGGGTGGGTAGGTTGTATTTATGTGTGTGTGCAGGAAAAGCCATTGGGGATTGTCATACAATACCACTTAGCTTCTAAATTCTCATGGTATATGGATTCATTCATACGTACTTGGAATGGACAGACAGTAGGTTTAGAAGTATAAGAGCTTGAAGTAAATTAGCATTAAAAATTATTCACAAAGCAGACATTTGAATAAGAAAATGATATCCAGGGAGCGCTAAGTTCTGTGTAGTTTAGAATGAATACAGTTGTCTTTTGAGACCTACCCAGCCACCATGTTTTCTATTGATGTACTTGTATGGAATGTAGAAAAACCAGTTCTTCCTGTCCAATAATATTGATTTGATTTGTGTTCATCTGGGATCAAGTTTTAGTCCATGTAGACACCCAGAAAATTGATTCAATCTTAACAAAACGTCTTTTCTTCTAATTGATAGTCCAAGAGGTGTTTTTAAATCTTCCCTGCCTATTTTTGAAAACTTCAGTACATTCAAGAGAGTAAAACAAACCTAAACACTAGTAAAGCTAAATTCCAAACTCTTTTTAAATTGGTCAAGTGGCTTGTTTCTCCTTCAGCTCAAAAAAAAGTACAGTCTCTGTGTGATCTATTAAGTGTCTATTCATCTCTGGAGTTCATAGTTCAGACAGTTTTAAGCACACTAAAGTACAATTGAAAGTATTCACTTTTGCAGTATAGACGTCAAGTAACTTTCTCTCTAGGATATTTGAAGTGTAATGTTATTATTTTAAGTCTTTGGGGTAACAGAGCTGTAGGGGTTTTAACAGTTTACTGGCTTCTGTAATGTAATAATATCTTCTAGCTATTCTGTTCCATTCAGAATGTCAAGGAATGGAGGACAAGGAAATCCCCTTAGGTTAGACTGGGAATAAGAGGGGTCAGATATCTTTAATTTCACTGCTCAAGCCTCCCTTTATACTACATCTGCTAGAATAGAGAATACAATGTCATTTCATTAAGTTGCTGACTCTGTACTTTTCACTTTGGCTGCATGGTGTTGAAAGTATCTTAAGCAGAGATTTAAAACTCAGATTTAGGTGCATTTTCAATATTCTCGACTCCAGTAGGAGCATACGTTATTCCAATCTCCCATCCACAGGACAACTTCCAGGGGAAGATTGACTTTGTTGACTGTAAATTTACATATCCTTCTCGACCTGATATACAAGTTCTGAATGGTCTCTCAGTGTCCGTTAGCCCAGGGAAGACGCTGGCATTTGTTGGAAGCAGTGGATGTGGCAAAAGTACCAGTATTCAGCTGTTGGAACGTTTCTACGATCCTGATAAAGGGAAGGTGGTAAGCAACGCAAGTGCTTTTGAGAATTGTGCTTTCTGCAGAATATCTCCAACCCTTGAAAGTGGTCTTTGAGATTGTGCCTCACCAGACTCACTCTCAAGTGCTTGCTGTGGACATGTACCAGGTGGATAGTTTCCAGTTCCTGTCATTTCTGGTTGACCTGATTCTACCTCACAGTTTCTAACATCATATTCTTCCCAGCTCCAGATGGCCTGCTGACCAGTTGGGCAAAGAAAACTGGGCACACTGCAAAGCTGGAGATGTGTGTATTTAACAGAAGCATTCACTTACCCGTAAATGGAGCAGAAAGTGCAGACTAATCAGGAAACTAATGACCAGGAATGGAAAAAGTGGGGGTGATAAGGGACACAATGATAAATGAGCAAGAAAGAGGACTTAGCATGAAAAATTTGAGACAATCCTGATTCAAGAAGCCTAAGTCTAAATAATATAAGGAACTCAAATTGATAGCCAGGTACCATAAAGTTTTGGCAATGATATTTGAAAAATCGGTGAATTGCATTGTCGCTTATTTTCCACAGCCTGTCTTTCTCTTCTTTTTCTTTTCTTTTTTTTGAAAGTAATACATGCAGAGAATTACAAAATCAAATAATAAAGGTTTGTAATAAAAGCAACCTATTGCTCCACCCTTTCACCTCCCCGCTGTCACATCTCTCTGCTCAAAGACAACTATTTTTAACCACTTGATATTTTTTGATCTCCCAGTGATTACTTCTATGTCTCGAAATAATATGCTCATGCTGCTGTTTCATGATTTAACAAATTTAGACTCTCTGTTAACTTATTCTCCAGAGAAGAAAATATAGCTTTCACCATTCCTATCCTTTTACCTATCTCCTCCCAATATAGTTAAATCATTTTTTTAGCCCCTCTATTTGTAAATGTAACTAATACACTTCCCTTGCTTCCCACCACCTATGGATACTGTCTCTGTCCTCACTTTCTAAGATGAGAATATTAACTATCCTACCTTTATTTTCACTTCTTGCTCCCTCCTTTTACCTCTCAAGTTCTTACTATGCTTTTTTATTCTCAAGAATAAGAGACACATTCCGTTTATAACATTGGTTATTCTCCTGCTTTCACTCTACGTTGATTCTAAACGTTGAAAATCAATTAACAGCTTGTGTTATGATTATGTAAATACTGTTCATCCCACAGTCAAGTAGTGAGGCATGTCAGCATTCCATTTTCTTAATTGTTTTTTCTTTCTTTTTCTTTTTTTGTCTTTTTTTTGTGTGTGTCCGGCAACGGATCGCAACCCTCAGTGTCGCGCCCGTACCGGACCGGGACCGGCAACGGGATCGCAACCCTCGGTGTTGCTCCCGCGCCTCGCTCAGCCAGTGAGCGGGAACCGGTCTGTATGTGGGATCCGAACCCTCGGGTGGGAGCGCCACCACGCTCCCAAGCAGCGCACTGTAGCAGTGCGCCATGGAGCTGGCCCCTTTTAATTGTTTTTTCTAAAAGGCTTTCTTTTTCTTACATTCTCTGTCTGTATAAAAATCTTTATGCTCTTCCAATGTCTCTATCCTGCTGTCTATGCTGCGGGACCTGCTTCTTTTCCCCATTTCTGTCACTGCCTAGGCTAACTGCAACCTCTGCTTGTTGAACAGCTGTCATCCTGTGAGTTCCTGCAATGTTTTCTTGGATAAGAGCCATTATTTCCTAGTTCCCCTGTTTTCCTTTTTCTTGGTTTTCACCGACTTTTGTTGGAGCACATCAGCAAGTGGTTTTCTAGGAAATGGTTCAAAGGTGTGAATCTGAAAATTCATTTTATTTTGCTACATACTTGATTGATTATTTAGCCCTAATATTTTGAAAGTGGCCTTTGTGATTTCCCTAAATAGTATAGTCTTGATTATAATAAGGATAGAGAGCATTATGAAGAGAAATGCTGAGAGAAACTTGAAAGAGGCAACTAAAGATTCCCTGGTTTAAAGCAAACAAAGGAAACAAGCAAACAGATATTGGCAGAATTCAGGAAGTTACGAAAACAGGGCATAAGAGTTGACTGCTTATGATTTATAATCACTTCTGTTATTAATTTTAGGTGGAAAGATTTCAATTTGCTTGGAATTATTTGGTGACTGATGAACCTAAAAAGCGTAGCACTGAGGTCTGATCTCTGTAAGGGAGAGGGTTTAGTTTTCCAAAACGTCAGCTCTATCATGCCTATCACCCAGGTAGATTGTGAACTATGTGAGATGCAGGGACCTGAACCCTTCGTGTTTGAACTCTCCAACATTAACGTGTATGTATTATGTATATTTCTCTGAATGTGCTCAGTGAATGTTCTGGTCACAGGTAGGAAGGCCCGTGAAGAAGTCATTATTAGTACTTGCATTGCATAGGTACAATATATTTTATGTCACTGTAAAACATTGCTGCAAAAATTTTAAGTAGGAAAATACCACTTTTCATCAATTTTTTAAAATCCTCTTTGCTCTTAACGAAGCTACCAAATCTAGGCATTCAATATTTTCAATATTTAATTGGATACCTGTGATGTGCCTAGTACTGCATTAGCCCTGTGGTAGAGTCTCAGGTATATGAAGCATGTCTTCTGTCTTCTAGGAGTTTACAACACAGCACATATAGAACAATTAGCAAGCAGCTACAGTATTTAATTAAGTATTAAATTGTGCTTTGCAGACTTAAGTACTATGGAAAATAAATACGGCAAGATGAGTGGGGGCTAATTGTTGTTGAAGAATAACATATTTTTTCTAATAGTGTTTGCTTTTTTCACTGCTGAGAAATTAGAATATAATCCATTTATACCATTTAATGTAACCTTTTTTCTGAAATCATAAGGTCAAATACTTTATAGTAGTATGTTAGACATATTGTACCTTCAATATTCTAGGAGGCTTAAGCAAACCAGCTCAAATAGTAGATTTTTTAGTACCTGTCCTTAATTTTCTAACTAGCCATGAGTTCTTAGGAAACAAAGATTATGTTTTCTTTACACAACAGACACAGGCTGTTTAGCATGGTGCCTTTGTGGCAGGTGATTCAATATATGCTTGTTGATTAACTAAGTGAATAAATATATTCCTTTCTTACTTGAGTCTATTATCTCAGTTACTCAGAGACTGGTATCAGTAAAATCAAGGAAACAGGTTTGATTCTTATATTGTCCAGTAGTTTCACATAAAAAAATCCTTTTCATTACTCACAGAGTCTCAAAATTGAGCAATTCTGGACACTTGTATAGAGTGTGCTGCACCAAAGTATAAGGGAAAATTTTTTAAACTAAATACTGTCTTGAGTGTCTGTCTCATTTGCACACCTGCAGAGCTATAGTTTGAGAAACACAAGAACCAAAAAAACCCATAGTGTGATCAGTGTTAACTTTGTCACCACTCCTGATAGACACCACCTTTGGAGGTCAAAGGTGACATATCTTGTTTCCCGGAGCCCTGGGATTGTTGTCTCTTAAGCAAAACAAATGTCCTGCATAACACTTACCTCTACAATGTGAACTTTCCTCACTGCTGGAATTCTAAAACTTAACGCCCTTTGTCATCACCTCTATTGGCAGATGATAGATGGGCATGACACCAAAAAAGTAAATGTCCAGTTCCTGCGCTCGAACATTGGAATTGTTTCCCAGGAACCGGTGTTGTTTGCCTGTAGTATAATGGACAATATCAAGTATGGAGACAACACCAAAGAAATTCCCATGGAAAGAGTCATAGCTGCTGCAAAGCAGGCTCAGCTGCACGATTTTGTCATGTCACTCCCAGAGGTGAGTACCAAGTCAGAGCCATTCCCTGTGGGAGATGGGGATGGTGAGAGGTAGAATGACCAAAAAGTATTGTGATTGTTGCTCACAGAGAAGTTCAAAGGCAACACAATTTATTTCCCAATGCCCCAGGATTCTCTGAGACTTTTAAGCAAAATAAATGTCCTTCATCAACATATTCCTTAGCTTTGGAAAGTATTATATTATCCAGCATGATGGATGCTATGGAATTTGTTGCACATAAAATTGTACCACATTGAGCATTAGCTTAGCATAATGGAAAAAAGCCTGAGATCTAGAGCATACTCATACCTGAGTTCAAATTCAAGCTTTGCCACTTACTAGCTGTGTAACTTTGGCACAATTACATACCTTTTCTGAGATTGTCTATTCCATCTGCACAATGCAAAAAATAGCATTCAGATGAAAGAATATGCTTACTAGCTGCACAAAGAAATCCACTGCTATTATTACCACCATCATTATCTCATTACTTGGCAGTGTATACTAAACGTGGTGGGGTAAGTCATATCTGCCTTGTGTCTCTTACATTACCAGAGCCAAGTCTGAACTTAGCACAATATCCACTCTCCATTTTTCTACCCACCAAGAGTCTCTCTTGGTGATTGATCACAAGGAAAATTAAAACATGGAAACCAAATTATAGGAGCCAAATACTACCTTTAACCTTCTCTACTTCCATTTTAAAATACCGCTGGGGAATTTTTCTTTGTAAGTGATTATGTTTATAAATTTTGTGGTGTTTGTGATAAGCTTTTCATTTGCTCTTTTTATAAAGTCTCCTAAGTCTTAAGGCTCTTGGCCTGGTTCTAACCTGAGCAGTTCAGTCTGTAGGCACACAGAAATTACTGTTTGCTGCATCCTAAGCTGAAAGGCAAAGCTTGTGTGTTTCCTGGAAGATTCATTTATTCCACAAATCTTTACTGAGCACCTAATCATTTTGTGTGAGTCACTGGCTTGGAGTGGTTTATTGCCTCTTTCTCATACAGACTTGCCCACAATACCCTTTGCTGAGCACTTTGTCTCCACAAGGACAAAGTAAGATTGTCATGGGTCTCACCTGGCTTAGTCAAGGGAGGCAGAGGAAGAAAGTAGATCTTGTTGTGGAAGGCAGGGTAGAGTAGAGGGCAAGGGCAGGCTCAGAAGCTAGACTCTCCCAGATTTAGATTTCACCTTCACTGCTTTTGCTTGTTTGTCTTTGAACAATTTTCTTACTTCTCTGTACATAAGTTTTATAATCTGTAAAACAGGAAAAACATGGTTTCTGTGAATATCAAAGACAACTCAGCTAGAATAGTGAACACAATACCTGATACATAGTAAATATGCCACAAGTGTTAATTATTTTTTTTGTATAGCCATATCAAGCATCTAGCTAGAGATGTTCTTTCCTGATTTTGTCTAAAACTCACAACAAATACGTGAACTATATATTAATACTGCATTCAGTATGAGTTTTCAGCTCAAAGAAATTTAAAGAATTTGCTCATGATCACAGAGTTAGTAAGCAGCAGAGTTTAAATTCAAACCAAGTCTTGTGTTCCAGAATGATGCCACCCCAATAAAGGAATGCACCAGAAGATCTCTCAAAAGGCATTGCCACTCCTGGGATTATCCCATCTTGGAAAGGTCTTCTAGATAAGTGTCTGGAAATAAGGACTTCTCAAATCAAGGATGATCTCATATACAATGGTACTTCAAAATGTTCATGGAAAAATAGAATTAAAAGATAATACAAATCTTTCCATGAACTTTTTGAAGTACTCTCTTATGGGATCTTCCCTGAACACAGGGAGAAAGAGATTGAAAAAATAAACCTAAAAGAAATGCAGAGATGGGGAATAAAATCCCCTAGCTTCCCACATCAAAGGTCACAAACTTCATATTTCTCTTATATTCTTGAGTGGATTTGACATTCTTTATAGGATTCATTCACTATTCCAAAGTTCAAAAAACAACAAATAATTACAATTCTCACAGGAGTTACAGATGTGGGCTCCATATGGCACAGGAGCAATCACTGTTACTGGTTCTCAAACTTACCATACTTTTTTCAGAAATACGAAACTAACGTTGGGTCCCAGGGGTCTCAGCTTTCTCGAGGGGAGAAACAGCGCATTGCTATTGCTCGGGCCATTGTTCGAGATCCTAAAATCTTGCTACTAGATGAAGCCACTTCTGCCTTAGACACAGAAAGTGAAAAGGTATGTACTGATTTTCCAAAGTCTTAGATCATTATAAATGACTCTCTTGCTGTAAGATTTGTCCTTATGAAATGATGCTAATTTTAATTTTCTGATTCATTAACAGTAGGAATTGGCAATACTTTGTGGAACCAAAAGACATTCTAGGGAAAGTAATTAAACATACAATTCCTTCAAATAAAAAAAATGTTAACTTTAAAATAAGAATTGTTTTTAAGATTCTTTAGGCTAAGTGACATTTTTTTGAGGATAAATAATTAGCTTTCTTAAATAAAGTAAAACAATCTGGATCGGCTGTTAGGCATTTCATATTGTATAATTCTGAAATTATGTGACAGTGTAGGTACACCACATACAACACAAAGAAAAAGGTGATATCTGATGTGCAGTTTGCATGAAAAGAGATGCATTCAACAAAACACAATTAGGGAATTTAAAATTTATACTTAACACCTTAAAAGGCAGGATTCCATCTTGGACGAAGCTAAAATTTCCACAATGAAAAGCACTATCAGGAATGGCTGATGCTGCCATCCTACATTGTTTCCTTGGTTTTACTTAGTAAACTAGACTACCAAGTTTTGTAAAATTACATAGTGACCTTGTAGTTGGGTTCATTCTTCACTGAAATTTCTCAGCCTATGCACTGGAATTTAAATCACTGGTGCATTGTATTCAGCAAATTTTTGCTTAATCCTCTCTTAGGTTGAGCCCTTGGGTTTATCCCTAAGTGTAGGGTGGTGTCACACTGAACTCTTGCCACAGTGGGCTGGGAACAACCCTGTGTCCTGGCACCAACTTTCCATCTTCTCTTTGCAGACGGTGCAGGTTGCTCTGGACAAAGCCAGAGAAGGAAGGACCTGCATTGTCATTGCCCATCGCTTGTCCACCATCCAGAACTCGGATATCATCGCTGTCATGTCACAGGGAGTGGTGATTGAAAAGGGGTCCCATGAGGAATTGATGGCCCAGAAAGGAGCCTACTACAAATTAGTCACCACAGGAGCCCCCATCAGTTGACCTGTCTCAAGAACTTCATGCACAGATGATGCACAAATTACAGGAGTACTGTGGGTTGTTTTTCTTTGGGGAGGAATGTTAATATTTTACTTTCACAGACATTGTCATATGTTGGGATCCCAGCTAATTTCTAATGACCTTCAATAATAATCCAGTTTTAGATGTTCATAAAGAAGATGAAAGAAACTTGGGGCAGTGTGGGTGAAAATCCCATGTCAAGCAGCTGCCCAGCCATTGCCCAGTGCATCTCTATGCAGGAACCAGTCCCACTTCCTATGTGGGAATTAGTGAGAAGCTATGGAGTAGATGAGACCTTGAACTCCTCAAGGGCAGAGCACTGTCTTCTGCATTTTTGAACTCTCCAGTGTCCACAGAGCCTGGTCCATAACAGGCATTCAACAAATGTTTGTTGAGCTGGCCCAAAAGTGAAAAGAAGAAAAGAATTAAGACCAGCTGTATTTCTTAACTAATGTTTTCTTGCACGTGAAAGCAGATTCATTTATCTCTACGGCTGAAGACAGGGAAAGGAGAATTCTGACACACTGGATGTTCTTGGGCTGAAGGAGGCAGGGGGCAAATATTAGCAGTGGCTTACCAGTTAGGGATGTCCATTTATGCTGTAGGTTCAGGGTGTAGTGCATGTGTGGTGAAGTCACCATTGCTAGACTAGACTCTGCTGGTGTGGTTGGAGCAGGGGACTCTATCCCAGGCCATGTACTCCTCATCACCTGCCTGCACATTGGTTGCTGTCCCTTATTTCTACAGAATCTTATTCATGGAATGACATGTGCTGTGGCCTCCTAAGGTGTTATACAAAAAAGTCAGTTAAATATGGCAGAAAAATACTTGTGTTTGTCCCTGATCCCTCAAAACACCTCTAAATGACATTAAAAATAAGTAAAGAAGACATAAATCTATACCAATAAAGGAAACAAAAGGATGTCAGCAACAAAATTTTGGGAGCCAGAAAGCAAATGGATAACTGATAACAAATTTAGAAGATGAGAGAAAGCAAAAATGTAATCTGTTATTGGGGGGAAGCCTGGGGTCATCCTGTTTTATACCATGGATCCCTAGAGAGGCTCAGGATATAAAGACACTGGGTCCTTCTAGAAGGGGGAAAAAAGGGGACAGATGGGGCTGGAGACAGAAGAATGGGCTGAATGGCTGTATAGAAACAGAGGTGCGGAGCCCCCTCCTGCAGCAGGGTGGCTGCTCTTCCCCAGTCCCAGCAGAAGACTGGATACTCCCTTTCTGGGGAAACTCGCAGTCAGGTTTGCACTTGGGGACATGAATTGCAGTGGATGCGGCGCTGACATACAGGCGACAGGGGACTGAGTGTAAAGCTATATATGAACAGAAAAACTCCCAGCCTCCCTCCTCTGGCAGGAGATCAAAGAATGATTCTCTGGGGAAACTGGCCAATTCAAGAGAAGAGACCTATGACCCTGATGCTAGGAATCCTCCAAAGAAAATTCCCAGCCAGATGACCCTCCTGTGAAGCCCACCAGCCAACACCATGAACCACTCACTTAGAACTTCCCTTGGCTTTCCAATGTCTCCCTCTTGCATGGAATAGACGGCCCAGGATTGCCAAACACGAAGGAGATATTTTAACACACTGAAGAAAAGTGATGATGATAGAACACCCAGGAGGGAGGAAATTAAAGAAAACAGAGACAATGCAAAGATCAAGAAAACACGCATAGAGTGATAATAAATTTCCTCAGTGAGACAAGAGAAGATATTTCCATCAATTTAAACAAAAACAGGAGTCCATAAAAATGAACATGCAAAAAATAAACATACGAAAAAGAGCTCTTGATAGCAGAAATGAAAAATTCAACAGCAGGACTGCACATTTCCCACCAAGCCATCCTACCATCACAGAGTCTTCTTCCTCCAACTTCCTCCCAATCCCACTTGTGTGTGTATTTTTTCAGCCTGTGGCCAAAAAGTGAAATTCTGCCTACGAGTTAAGCCTGAGCTGTGGTCTATTGAGGTGTATTATTTACATCTCCTGTTCAGTGTTTACTGGTAAATGACTGCAAAGATGGTTCAGCAGATTAACTAGCCAGGCCAGATTTGCTGATGGTTGTCAAGTCAGGGAGGCTGAGAGTGGAGGAATGGATTCCAGTTAAACTATGAAAAATGGCAGTGAAAAGTAAGTTGCAGAATAAAGATGCCTGCTAGAAGGAATTAAGTTTTGCAGCAAATGCGTGCTCATCCTTCCTTCTTGAAGAAAGACTAAAATGCATTTGTTTGGATTTGCATTTCAAAGAGGGAGAACATGGGCTCTGTGCTGGGAGTTTGCCAGTTTCTTGGAATGGAATTTGTGCAGAAAAGGAATGAATAAGAGCTGTTTTTCAAATAAGGTGCCTGAAAGTTACTGACGAGAGGGAAAAGATTGACTGGAGAGGGCTTGAAATGGTTTGGGAAAACAATTGTTTTTTGAGGCTCAGTGACAAGAAAGATTTACAACCTCAAAAATGAATAAATAAATAGTTGCACATTTATTTACAGCACCAGGGGGTGTCAATGTCTCCATTTTTATCCTGCATCCTCTATTGCTAATAAAGAATGGGTCTCTGCATTTTTATATTATTAGTGTTTCTCAGATGACTGAAGGGTTGGCTTAATCTGTTCTGTCTGACACTAATCACAAGTTTTCCTGTAATTTCCTAATGTTTTCATAATGCGTTTGGACCGTGTTCAAACTCTCCCCATAATCCCACTTAATAAATGTTTACAGAAGGGAAAAAAATAGAAGGATTGGAAGATAAAATTGTGGAAATTTCTCTGAAGCTAAAACAAAAAGATAGAGATAAAAAGTGGTAGAGAAAAAAAGAAAAGCAAAAATTTAGAGGAACAATCCTAGTAGTGCAATAATTAGCTAATAACAGTTCCAGAGAGTTCAGTGAAAACTGAGGGGAAAAAATTGTTAAAGAAGTAGTTCAAGAACGTTTCCTATAATTGAAGGATATAAATTTGCAAGATGAAAAGGTTCACCAAGTCTGAATAAAACAAATGAAGATCCTGCTTGGGCACATTGTTATAAAATTTTAGAAAACTGAGGAAGAGTAGAAGTTACCAATATTTTCCAGGAGAAAGGGGGAACATGCTACATGTAATAAAGAATCATAAAGACATAGGACCTCTTGACAATAAAAAAGTCAGAATACATAAAGACTTGCCTTCAAAATTCTGAGGGGAAATTATTCTATATTCTCAAGAATGAGAGAAATCTAAGGAAATTCTTAGTCATGCCAGGTCTCAAAACTTATTCCCCATGCATCTTTCTCAGGAAGCCACAGAAGGCAGGGCTCCCTAAAATAAGAGAATAAACAAAGAAAGAAGATATGGGATATAGGAACATTCTGTAACTTGAGCATGAGGTGATGGGAATCTCCAGGATGATTAGGAAATGCTATAGCCCGTGCAGGCAGCCCAGACTGAAGCAGAGAAATGGGTTCTGAGAGGGGAAAATATGCTGCTGCTAGAATACCTGATGGCTTTGAATGATGAGAGGAGACATAGCCTCTGGTAGAGTTTGGGGTAAATTAGTGATGGGTAATAGAAAACAAGGAGTGGGGAAGAGAGAGAGGATGTTATTAGCTATTAGCTTTGGAAGGGGGGATTATACAATAATTACGCAAAAAGGAAATATATTTATATAACACTGCATGGCTCACCTGAGAATGTTATTTGCAAAGTCATATCTATGTAAATGCTTATTGATCTAAAATGAAATTATAGACAGGTTATGAAAGGGAAAATATCTGGGGAAGGTTGGGGATGAGACAGTACATGGGGATAAAAGAACTGGATCCTTATATTTCTCATATTTCATGATGGAAAATGAACAGTTAAAAATAATAAACAAACAAGCAGTTAACAAATAATAAAAATATGTTATTTTAAAAGATGAAGGTAAATACCAAAAGGAATAGCTAAAGGATTTATGCACATGTGTATCTTTAATTTTTAAAAAAAGTTAAAGAATTAAATCAAAAAAGGAGGAAAAACACAGAGACACAATGTTTAAAAGAGTAAATACTGAAGCTAGATTTGAAAGTCACATCACCCAAATAGAAGAGAGTCCAGAAATAGATTCACCAGGGATCGCATTTCTCATAATTTATTCTAAATTTCTGATCACAAAAGTGAGCACAGTTTTCTCTTTCTGCGTTGTTCACAATAACTTGGAAACAATCTAAAGTCTATAAATAAGAGGATGGCAAAATGATCAAATAAGCTTGGGTACATATATACAATATCGTTTACCATGAAGCCAAAAAAATGATGATGTTTACTGTTTTAGTGGAACGATGCCCATGATGTGTGGTATAGAAAAAGCGAGTTTCAGATCATCATGCATGGTATGATGACATCTCTCTGTCTGTCTATCCATCCACCCATCTATATCTGTCTCCCTATTATCTATGCATACACACACATACATACATCTATTATGTGTATATGTGTCCATGTTTGTGTGCACTTGTACATACTTGTACACATAAAGAGATGTCTGGAGGGATTTCCCTCCAAATTTTGGTAACTTAACTTTCTTCCATTTGTCCTTTGTGTGACCAGAGCTCCCCGAGCATACTAAATGTCTATGGTCCTTGAGGGCAGAGACTGTGTTTAGCTCATCTTAACATTCCCAGAGTCTTATCCAGTACTTGGCCTACAGTGATATCTTAATACATTTTGGTTGAATAATCTTTTTAAATTCACAAAGGTGGTCCATAATTTGTCAACCCCAAGACAATTAATAAAAGAGGGAAATGTCCATTTTTCCCATTATGTTAAAGAACTGCCTCCCAATAGAAATATAATATGGGCCACTAATACAAGCCACATATGTAATTTTAAATTTTCTAGTCTCATGAAAAGAAACAGGTGAAATTTATATGAATAATGTATTTTATTTAACGTAATATATCCAAATATTACCATCATAATATGTAATAAATATAAAATTACTGTGATATTTTACATTATTTTATAATATTAAAATCCGAAATCTAATGTGTATTTGCACTTACAGCACATCTTAG